CTTTAGGCTGAGCAGGCGCTCTTAGCGAAGAAGAATGGACTCTAAGCTCAAGGAGTTGACAGCTAGTCGATAATGCAGCAATTAATGTCATAAATAATTCCTAACGCCAATTATATGAAAAGGGGCATCATACTGTAAACCAACCTTTTACTCCCTGTCCATTCCTGATGTGTTCTGTGTCAAACAGAGGCAGCAGAGGTTTTTCTTTTTCTTTTTCTGCGTACGTCAGACATATGGTGAAGTCAATAATGGGGCCATAAAAATCAGAAGGGCCAAGCGGGAGATTTATTGGTTGATTAAATTCACGTTTAAAATATGATTTTCTTCCTCTTTGATAAAACTTTACCTGCGGATAAAAGAAAAAGAAAATCATAAACTCTTTTAATCAAAACGATACCTCCTGGATGTTACTGGATGTATAAAAAAGGGCTCAGTTCATAAGTACTCTGAGTAATTTAATGGCAGTAGTGGTTAAATATATCAAACGTTCCTTCTAGCCTTGGAAGGGTCAAGCCCACAGTAATATATAGAAAAGACTGTGATGGCTGAAGGTCGCTTCAACTTGTTCTGCATAATGCATGAATCCTGTAACTCTCTCTGACTCCAATCTTCTACAACAGAACCTTGGGATGAAAATTTTACTAAGTAAATCAGCAAGTATGCTGGCATTTCTATTAACCTCCAGTGAGTGAGCTGACAGAAACATGAATCACAGAGAATGATATCGTGCAAATTGTAAATCATCTTTACAACTTTGGCTTAGAAGTAATGTTATGGGATGCTTCCATCTGTTTGTCATTTGCTACAGGTTATTTTCTTTAAGACAAAAATATATTTTAAATGTGCAGAAGAAAAGTTAAAAACAGAAAAAACAGGCGGTAAATTTATGAAACTTAATATAAAATTAAGTTTTTGGTTGTACCCACCTGTCGTCAGCCACGGTTGAATCCCCAATCCTGAATTTCTCTGCTGTGGGACACAGAAAAACTTATTGTTTAAGCCTTTTCTTTTTTAAATTCTAAAACTACAACAAATCTTCAAACCACTATTCAGTACTTTTATTTTACTGTTGGAGTTGGCTTTCACTTTGGTAAATCCTTTCTCTCCATATTTAGGACACTGTGAAAACATTTCTGTTTTCATTAGTCATTTTTCCACCAGTTATCCACTGAACTGCACTGCATCCTGTCACTGATCACCGCTGTGGAAGTTATAAGTCAGTTCGTTCCATCATTGATGATCAGATCCTTCTGTTATGTGCCACACCCATTTTGCAGCTTACAAATTGTAGGATTTTAATTTTGGTACATATTGTCAATGTGAGGCTCCTATCCTTCGATCTGTGCCCGGAATGGCACCCTATCAGTTAGCCATGTTGTCTGTGCTAAAATATTAAATTATCCGAAAGCTTTACTTTAGACTATATAGCCTATAAGCGTGCATGAGAACAAAGTAAATGAAGCAAGTTATCCTTTTTTGTTTCAGTGAACATTAAAGGTTAGTATTTTAACCAGGCCCTGCAAGACAGATTGGATTGGAGAATCGTGATCCATCCTTACAACAGTAATTCAATTTTTATCTTTTTCTATTTTTAATGCTGAAGGCACATCACCTTTCTTTCTTATATAGGTTATATTGACACAGCCATGCAAAAAAAGAGAAACAAATTCAGTCTTAACAACACATTTTTTTTTTCATTTTTCTCAATTTAAATGCAGTTTTAAAGAGCCTTTGAGTGCAAACCTTACCATCCCTCATTTCAGTATGAAAGGGGAAACTAATATAAAATGTATATGGCCCTCGGCACAAAGGATGGCACCGCAACTCAGTCGGGGAAGAAATGTGCTAAAAGCTTGGAACATCTGTGTAAACACATGGCTTTTTTCCAACCATGTAGACACTGTTCTTGTACCCTTAAGATAGATGTCCAAGGCAATATAGCTTGCCCTGTGGCAATACAGGAATGGCTTTGAACATCTGAAAAACACCGAGCTTCAAGCAGCATCCAATTTAATATTCCAGCTTGATTCTTAAAAATAGATGGATTTAAACAATGGCTTTTATTTGACTCGTGAGGAGGTGACCCTCCAGAAGGTGGAGGTGATTATTACAAACAATATTTTGTAAATGTTAAACAACTTTTGTTTGTTTAATATTGAGATTTAGATTTACAAGTTTCCTATGCAGTCTTGAAAAATGTGGAATTTGATTATCTTCCATGTCTGGGATTTATGAGTATAGAAAATATAATTAAATCTATACTTTATTCCCTATCTCAGTGTTTAAATGTGTTATTAATCTCTTTTATCCCTTCTTTCATTATGTCCTTCATTGCCTTCTTCTTTTTTAGTGTCATTTCTTGTATCTTTCTTTACTAATGTCCACTTTTTGTCATCTTTCCTTTCTTTACTCCATTCCTTGTTTTCCTTCTTACTTTCTGTTCTTCCTTTTTGTGTCCTTCAGTCTTTCTTGTATTATTTAGATTCTCGCTGTTTTCTTTATTACTTGTGCCTTACCTCGTTTCAACCCTTCCTTTCCTCTTATCGTATATCCTTCTTTGTTTTTATTCTCTCTCCTTTTCTTGTTTCTCATGATTGCCTTTCTCCTTCACTTCCCCTTGTCCTTTTTTCCTTCTTTGTTTCCTCTGCTTTTCTTATATTTTACTTTCCTTTCTTTGTGTCTTAACTTCCTTCATTTATAAATTCCTTCCTTTATTTCTTTTCCCCTTCATTGTGTCCTACCTCATTTTCATTCCTGTTGTGGTTTTCCTTTTTGTCATCATTTCCTTCCTTACTCCCTTCCTTTCTTTCTTGTAATCTTCTTCTTTGCTACCTTGTATTCTTCAGGCTTTTTTTTTCTTCCTGACTGCCTGCCCCTGGTTTATCCAGGTTCCACATTTAAGGTCAATCCATGGTAAAATAAATAAATAAATAAAAAAGTCTTCCATAATGCATTTTGGTATTTTGAATTTTAAAATCATCTTAAAAGACTGAGAACTGTGGGAAAAAATTATATCTTCTGGAATATGATTTTTTTTTTTTAAATCAAAAACATGTGGGAGCCCTAAATTTACTGGGATAGGAAAAGGCACATTCAAGCACAACAACAAAGACAGAACATTCTGCCTTTGTTGTTTAATTCTGTTAATAGCCCAAGGTAAAGATTTATCTGCTCTTGTCAATTTACCTCAGCCTCAATATAAAGCACCAAGGTCACTTTTCCTCGCCTGGCCCACAGGATTAAATTGTCATGTCTCTCTAATAGGCAGCACAGGGAATCATTAGTCCAGCTCAGCTGCCTGACTGATGGGCATTTCAGTCCAATCATGGGAGTGTGCAGCTACAGGCCAGCCAATATTGACACCGTGTCAGGACTGAGAGGGGACGCCTTAATCAGCCAGGACACTCTCGGCATTGATTTGACAAGCTGCCGTAATGACCCCCTTGTTTTGGTAAAGAATCACTGTTTATCTGGGCTGGCATTGATGCACTTGGAAAGCTGCATTGTCATGGAAACTATTATCACCCGTATAAGCTGGGCAAAAGAATGGTCTTCAGGGGCAACTGTGGATTTTTGGGTTCAACTTGTTCACGTTTTCTCACATGAAAGCCGTCAGCTTTGATGCGTTTCAGTGGGATTTTGTATGATGGACCAATGCAAAATAGCTCATATTTGTGAAGTGGAAGAAAAATTACCTTAGACTTTAAAATGTGCTTTTCTTTTAAAAATGTGACATGCACCAGTACACAACCCCTTTACTTTGATACCCCCAAATGAAGTTAAGTGTAAATAAATGACTCAACTGTGTCTAAAATAATATAAAAGACAGCTTTTCTGTGAAGATTGATCAAGAACATTACTGGACAAACTGTCTTAAGACCAAAGACCAGACTGTGTGAAAGTTTAAGACAATATTTCAATCCTTGAACGTTTCAGACTTAATAAAACTTGTTTAAAGCTAACATACTGGGTAAGGAGAACACTGAGGTGGAAAAATCGGTCGGCAAAATATCTATTGTTTGTGAGTTTCACAAATTTGACCCTTTGTGAACGATTGGCAAAAAGAAAGCCATATGATATTTTGATAAAAGTTTGCCACAAAACATGTAGAGAAAACGGAACACTAAAAAAAATAAAATAAAATAAAAACACTCTGGTCAGATAAGACCAGAAATTCAAATTTTAGGCCTACAGGCAAAAATACCTGATGTAAAATATTACATTTTCGAGTGTGGCAGCCATAGTTACTATTTTTTTTATCAAAGCATATTTATGTGCTAGAATAGCATAGTCAAAGTCCATCTGCTTGAAAATCTGATAGAGCTTGATAATTAAAGTTCACAGGTGCTCTCTATACAGTCTGAGCCTTTTTGCAATAGAAATGGGCCCAGAATGCTCGTCTCTGGATGTGCCAGGCTGGTAGACATAAGGTTTTATGAAAGTCTTGACTCACTGGGGTTTCACTGCTCTATTTATGTCTACTGCATACAATCCAGATGTAATATATTCAATTTTGGAGTTTTATGATAAATGGCAAAATGTTTATAGCCCTTGAACTTTTACAAGACTTTGCATTTATAGCAAATCCTTGTGTAAAATTCCTCCCCTTTAACACAGGTATCGTTGATAGCTGATTTTAGAGGATGGCTGGATGTGTTTGTTTACTAAAATGAGGTGACACAGCCGCTGGCAGGAGGATCTGGAAAATCAGCCGCCTCTCTGGGAGGTGTTAGACTGTAAATGTTATTGGCATGCTGACAGTCTCCCACAATGCCACAGTGTGTAAAATCGTTAACAAGCAACATAATGGGCACACTCTTTCCCTAAGGTGAGGATGTGGGGTGTTTTTATCAGCCTTTTATCCTTAGAGTTCAGAGAGACATTATTTGATCTGCTTAGATATCAGAAACAAACCTCCTGTTCTTTTTGTGCTGTCCATCTGTTTCAGTGATGTGCATTCAATTATAAGCGAGAAAAATCTGTAAAGGCGTAACAACTCATTCGATAAAACACCATACATCTGCTTTTAATTTGTGAAAATACAAAATGAAATCATGTACAATTTATGTACAATCAAATTTATACAAGACAATAATGTTATTTCTGCGTATAGTGACGTAGATATTAAATCAGGATTATCGTTTGATGAGTGAATGTGCTGAAAAGTGCATAAAATAAATACAAGCAATGCTGAATGCGCCTCAACACCACAGATACCGTCAAACAGGAACACGCTACAAAGAAATACTTTACATTAAGTTTTACAGATTTACATGAAATACATTGTTTTGCGATGGTGGTGGAAGCTGTTTTTAAGACGTTTGAGAGTTGAATTACTGTCAGTGAGAAAGTAGAACTAGAAGCCTCTTTTCGCAGCAGTGGGTCTTTGTGGAGTCCTCCGTTGGCTTCAGCACTGCCTGGCACATTACTGGCACTGAGGGACGGACAGCGCAGATGTTCTCTGTGCCAGTAAAAATGTCACAAACCTTGTGTTTTGTCCTTCAACATCCAACACAAATCCTAAGCCAGGCCATAAAGAATCATCTGAGGAGTCAGAATGTCCTGGACTAATGTTATTATGTCTTATCTTCATGGATACTAAAGTAAAGTGACAACAGTGCCAGTATAGCTGTGTTCCATTATTTAAATAAGACATGATTTCTGAGAGTAAAACAACCATATTTGCTGATATTGTTGATTATCATTGATTTATCAGAATTCTTGCTTCTGGACTCAAACCCGTTTTTATGATAGAGCTGTTTGACGAGCATCCATGCAATGAAGAGATCATGGCATTAAGATTGGTCATGGAGTACATTCAAGTTTCCTCACTGCCTCCAAGACAATCCTGTGTCAGGCAGTGCTTACAGCCAAAGGAGGACTTAAAGATGCCCACTTCATGCGATATGTGGCTTTAAAAAAAAAAATCAATACATCTGCATACTTGGAATATTGTGCCGTGCACTGTTATAGAAACTGTCGATGGTATTGTGTGCTAATGAATAGCTCTCAGGGAAAGAAACAGCTCTATCATAAAAAAGTAACATTTTGTTTCAGAGATATTTTGGGAGGTTTGGTTTGCATAAAAAAGCATTTAAAACATTTACAGACTTGAAAAGGCAAAGATAAGACAAGTACATGTGTATAGAGATAAGGCTAGAGCCATATGCCATTTCAGTATGGACACTGGCCGATGTTAACCATCACAAATGTTGTGAATTAGCTCCAAATGGCAAAGAAACCATTGAGAGTCATGCTGCGCGCCACTTGCACTTGGAATCCTTGGATGCTGAGTTAAAAAACTGATTTTGGAATATCCAGGAGAAAAGTTGTGGTTTTTTTATTAACACCAACCACCACAAACATGGCTGCCATGCTTGCTAAACATTGAGAAAGCTTTAGTGAAAAACATTTATTTTTCAGTTTTGACTCTTGGTCAGTCACCCCTAGAATGGTAAAATCCTACAGAATATATTGCAGTGTTTAATGCATGAAATAGAGAGCAAATTCATTGTTGTTTCCTAGCTTTATCAGGTTTATGAAGCCCATAGTTAGCAAGCCCCACTGATTATCTGCTGGAATAAATCATAAACGTACCCAAGTTTATTCTCTCTTTTTACTTACTTTATGAATAATGTAGGTGGAGTACATAACCAAGTAATAAAACATTGCAAGTATATTTTTCTCTGTTGGTAAGTACTTTTGATACATATTGGAGATAATTAGCAATATAAATGTTGAAATCTTGCTTTTAATTTAAGCATATATTTTCAGAAGCCTTTGTATTTACACCATATATTCTTGATTATAATTATGATACTCTTTTGTGCCTGTCGGCTCTTACAGAATAACAGTTTGAACCACATTTAATGTGACCTGTATATTTTGTATTACTGTATTGAATACAAAAACACACAAATGTGAGGGAACATAAAAAATACCTTGTTGTGTACATACATGTGCACACCCTGTACTATTGCTTTATTGAGCCAACTTTTGATTTATCACCAGTCATTTTGGGGACACTTTAGTTCTTCTCTTGCAGGACGTAATATTTGCTCATTTACATCCTTGCGCTAACGCCATAGTTTGTAGAGGTTAAAAGGGATCAGAACGGTGTCATTTCACAAATTATCATTCAATGCTATTCTCATAAAAAAATAAAATAAAAACAACTAGCCACCCATTGTTAGTGCTTTCTTTAGCTTATCATATTATTCCTTGGCTCATTTTGAGAATGTTTAAGAGTTTGTATGACTGTATATTAAACTATTCAGTATTTATTCTATTAATGGGTTTTGCAGGAATGTAGCTGCAGCTCAGGTGCATTGTTGCCACCTGTAGGCGAATTGATAAATTGCAAACATGTCCCCCTGACCTTTGAACTGATTATATCTGCCCACCATTTCATAAATTTACCCTCTTTAGGTCAGGGCTAATTTACATCTCTTACTGGATTTCCGACTCCTGTGATAAATGGAGCGCAGCATCAGACCTCAACAATGCCACGGTGGTGGTGGATGGGGGTGGGGGTGCAGCTGGTTGTAAAATACACATTCTAACAAATTGCACACAATACTTTAACCAGACTCAAATGCAGTAGCAGTAGTTGTTCATGTACAGCTTAAAAGGCAACTTTTACAACTAGAGTCTTTTATCCAGCAGGGCTTCGAATCGCCTATGGTTATGCTCTTGCTCAAGTGACCCTCATTCCCCAAAATAAAGTGAAAAAGCAAAAAAAACAGTCATGGAGTCTGGTCACTGCTGTGCAAACTGAAAGTGGAGTGGTGGTCAGGGTTGTCTTTATGTTTCTACATCAGCTCAGATGTTACATTGCTGCAAAGATGAAGGAAGAAAAGCAGTTTGTCTTGCTGATAAATGATCCAAGGTCCACACTGACACCCACTCAATATGTCCTGTTGGAGGTCCAGTTGTCCAGGTGTCCGGGCGAGGTCCGGAGCTCAGCACTCGTCCTCGGCTTCTCTGATGGGTGGGATCAAGCTACTGGTGGATTTATTGTGACCGACGGGTTTGATGGCGAGAGTATTCACAGGATTGATCTGTATGGTCCTCAGGTTGGTATTCTCTGGTTCATCTGTAAACCATGTCTTTTCTGAGAACCAAAATCATACAGAGACAAAGAAGGAGGGGGGACATCAGACCATTAATGCTGCACAAAGGTTTTTGGATTTCAGTGAGTGTTTTTACATGCACACAGGTGAAAACTGTACATAAAAAAATCCCCGTAATGCGAGGATCTAGAGTAATATTACTCACGAGTCTTCAATAATCCTTTAAACACCCAGACTCTCTTTTATACTCCTAATGTGGTCTTTTCAAAAAGCTTTTCAAAGAAATGTAAGAATTATTGATCAAAGGCTAAGCTAAAGCTTCTGAAATATGTTAAGTTGTAAATAGTCATACTTCTATAATAGTGGCTTATATGGTTATTTTTCCTTATTTTAAGGAGGTGACAATATGCAGCTTTTCATAATGCTCATCAACTCATTCTCCAAAGAGTTTTTATTAAAATATGCATTAAAGGTATATCTAAATAAATAAAATATCAAAGTTGATTTATTTTAGTAATTTAGTTAAAAAAGTGAACCTCATATACTATACAGATTTAGACACACAAAGCGATATTTAAAGGTTTATTTCAGTTAACGTTGATAATTATGACTCCCTGCTTATGAAAAGTCGTATAAAATTATAATTTACCCAGGATTAATAAAAAAAAAGGAAATGACTGGATGGTATGGCTGTCTACTGCATAATAATTGGTCTGTGCTGCTTTTGCATTAATTATAGCATCAGTGCTTTGATAAAACACAATGGATTAGTAGCAGCAGATGACACAGCTCCCCAGAACATCACCAGACACCACAGGATATTTATGCTCTTGAAGCACTGATGAACTTTGTTTAAAATGTCTCTGCAGGATGGACTTATGCCTGATTCTTGATCTACTTCTTCTCATACGTCCATCCTTCCACTTAACTTTCCAGTAATTTGATACACACAGTGTTCTGTGAACAACTTCTATCCATCAGTTGCCTGCTTGATAACTGTCAGCTCAGTAGTCTTTTCTATGATTGTGTTGGCCATAAAATTTGTCTTAAAAATATGTATTTTTTAATTGGTCTTGATAAAGTCACATTTTCAGAGGAACTTAATTTGTGATTTTATAAGCTTCAAGGCTAGAAATACATACATACAATATCTCATGGTAGTATAGAAGTTGTGATTTGAGGTTGATTTGCAGCTTTAAGATTTAAGTACTTTGAACTCCTTGAGTTGATCAAAAAGCTGTTTGTATCCCAAAGTATTCTAAAGCCAAATGTGACATCATCCATCCATGATAAAATTGGATTGTGCAACAGGACAATAATCCCAAAACAACATGGATTGCACAATATAATACCCCACCTGACAATGTTGAAGGACCTTAATACATCTGTTTATGAATGAATGTGTGCACACTTCAATGACATGATGCAAAGTTGATGAAGTCACACAGAAAATGACTCAGCGAGTCATTCTTGTTAGCTGCTACACCTATTTTCACATAATCAGTCATGACAGTCGTCGTTTTCCCAGCTCTATGTACTTGGATAGTACAAAGTTTGAGGCGCGTCAAACTTTTGTTTGAATGGAGCTTTCATTAAAGCAATCAAGCCTATTAAAGGTTTCTTTTAGCTCACAACACAGGTGCTTTTCAATAAATTAGAACATTGTTGAAAATTTACTAATTCAAGAATATCAGTTCAAGAAGTAAAACTCATGTACAAGAAAATATTTCAAGAATTTACTTCTCTTATTTTGATGATTATGGCTTACTGCTAATGTAAACACCCATATTAAGTTTTCCAGAAAATGATAAAAGATAAGTAAAATTATAAATATGTTGCGTGATAACCTGAAAGAATCAGAGGGAAGACTTCTGACTTAACTTTTGTCAAATAGTCATTGACAAAAAGGGTAAGCAACAAAAGGTCATTGCTGAAGAAGCGGCTATACTGTAATTTGAAAGCTGTATTTAAATTAGAAGTTAGACTGCCAACATCTCAGCAATTGTGATAAGATTAGAATAACCAATGATTTTAATTCTATATATAATAAACTTCAAAAATGAGCTTTTATTTCTGAATTATAACTGAAATGCACAAACTTAATTTATTAAGTTGCACCTGTATGTTTGGTAGGTCCACAGGCATGCGTTTTCATTAACATTACTTAGCAGCAAAGTTGTAGTGGTACACTGCATTCACATGTGTGAGCAAATACATGTTTTCAATGATACAACATCAAACATCACGTGATAAAATGCAAATTAGCGTCAAACCGTTTGCTTGCATACACACTGTCAAGAGTCAAATCTAATGTGAGATGTGGTGCATGTATCATAATCATCATGCACCCCTGATGCATATTTAGAGGGCAAAATGTCAACAAGGACATGACCGTGCTCAGAAAATTAATTATCATGCAGAATTATTTATCTCCATACCTTGGCCAACTCTATTGATCCTTGTTGCACTTCAGAAAGAGAAAGTAGTACACTATATGTAAGCTAAATGGATTTATTAATAACAGAAAACTGTGCAGCATGATGATGAGAAGCCAAAAAAAAAAAAAGGCATGGGAATGTATTACATATGAACATAGAACAGGTTAAAAGGAGGTTATAATTATCTCAACAGAAAATAGACTATGTTAAAAGATTCTGGTTTGCTGTTATAACTCTATTTGATGTACTCAGCAGCTTTCTGTTTTTCATGAAAGTTGCTAAAGAATGGAATGAAACCAAATGTGGAACAGACAGTAACATGCTTCACCCGTATAGAGGCTGAATTCAGACAAGCACAGAAATTATTCAAGATTTTTTTTTTTCGAAATGAGAAATATAAAAGATTGCATGATTATTTTTAATTCTGGGTGTTCTTTCAGCAACTGCAATATGAGAAAAGGAAAGAAAGTTAAAGTACATAATAGTACACACAATACTGCCAACATCTCTGCAACTGAATGTCTTAAACGGAACGTTTTAAAAATAATTAATTGCTTAATAGCAAATAAAAGTAGGGTTTTCACCTCATTTCAAAAATATTCAACGGAGTTGAGGCCATTTCAGAAGCTTAACGTTAGCCTGTTCCAGTGTGTTGTCGATCTTTGTCCTGCTGCATGTGTAAAGTTTTGTCTTTGTCGGTCAGAAAATATCCACAATAAATTGACACTTGTGCACACAATAATTATTATTTTTTTAAGTTTGCCGTGTGATCAGTTCACCCCGCAAAAGGAACTGTTCAAACGGATCATAAAAAGCTCTAAATGTATTTGACCTTAAGGCAGAAGACTGACGGTACAGAACATTTACAGCTCAACCAGTATATGGTCCAGGGTTACAGTATAATAAGTTTTTTGTTGCTCATTAATGTTCCTCATGTTTCTGTACTGCAGAGAGAAAATTTGTGTGTTGAGAAAGATCGAGTTAAAGTTATTCAAACTAGGTTTTTGAAAGTTTCCAGAACCAATTCCACACTTCATCTGCTAATGTTAAAATTCGGACGTTATGCGATAAAATAACACAAAATATTGTAAAATTTTTAAGTGAACTGAAATGTGCTAAAATTATTTACACATTAAAACTATTAAAAAAGTGAGATACTTTATATGTCTTTTATAGGTCAACTCATTTAGTCAACAGTCTCTCGTGTGATGTCAGAATAAATTACTTTAATTTGTGAATATATTTCTTCTTTTCAGTTTCTCTAAACCCAGGGCAAAGAGCCAAAATCTCAGTAAGTTTTTGGAATCACTGTTACTTCTGTTCCACCACCTTGTAGGTAAAATCATTAAATATCATTAACAGACTTTGGAGAAAAAGAAAAAGTTAAATAAACATAAACAGACATTTTGATGTAAAGGCGTTATTAAAATCTGGGCATAACTTTATTATCAACAATTTCTACTTGCAAAATATTTTGACACAATTAAATACTTCATAGTTTCAGATGTTATTTAATCCAAAATTAACAACTTTAATGGAAATAAAAAGATATAAGGGAAAAAAAAGTTATACAATATTTTTAGACAATATATAATTTTTTAAGACATGCCATTTGAAGTGCAGTTCAAGTACAATAAGAAAGTAGAAGTAAAACGAAATCAAGTTTTATAATTAAAAAAAACTTGGAAAGATATAAGAAGTAAGAAAAGTCTATGATGGAAGAATGTGACACTGCAGGAAACCTAAGTGGCTTTAAATTTGCAAACAAAAATGACAATGTGACATACATAAGACAAAGTTTTCTTCTGCTTTCAAGGCTCAAATTCCCCAGGTTAGAAAAAAACGAATTAAACATATTAGATATAACACAGCAATAGATGACATCTAATGCAAACCAGGTAAAGATTAAATTTGTTTAAGACTGATCATTTTGAAATGCAGGAAGCTTCAGGGTGCTTTTCTGACATTAAGAAGAAATACAATTTATTTGCTCCAGATTGTAACTTATCAATCCTCAAATAAAAACAATAAATCTACCTTTATTTTACAAGATGATGAATGTTTTTCTCATTAAATGATACAAAAACTGTGGAAAATGTAAACCTAATTGATGGGAAGGAAGTCAAAGAAAAACAGCACGAAGAAATAAGGACATGCATCAACCCTGCTTGTTTCTTACTTTGTGTAATGAGCCGCTCCTGTTCAAGGGGAAAAACACACAAGTCACTGCAAACTGAACCAAACAAGAGACACATACATACACATTCAGACGAACGTACACAAACAATCCAGATGCGGTCTACAGTCTGTCTGAGACTCGACGACGAAGGACACACAGGACAACACTGACCGCAGGCACTGGTCACAGACATGGACAGGCAGACAGCTTTAGAGGGGCACATACTTTTGTTTGTCTCGTGAGTCCCTGCTTTTGACTCGGTTGGCGCGGTTGGTAGTTTGGATAGAGTGGACGGAAGAGCTCTTTTTGCTCGAAGAGTGCGAGGAGTGAGAAGAGTGGGAAAGGCTGGTCCGTGACTGACCGGCGTTGTGGTCAAACTGCATCAGGCAGAATATGAGGTCGGAGGGCACGAGTTCAAATGCATATGGAGGATTGGTGATGACGTACCTGAAGAAGAAATTGACCAGATGTAAGGTCAAATATATTACCTTACAACAACAAACCTCAGTGTATTTCATTGGGTTTTGTCTGACAGACCAACACACATAATTATGAGCTTGAGAAAAAATTATATGCGCATTTTGAAATTTTCCACAATTAAAAATCTCAACATCAAACAGGGATGTTGAGGCTAGTTAAGTTAGGTGAAACATGGATGGAACTAAGTACAGGGTGATCCTTAAGGAGAACCTTCAAGAGGCTACAAAAACTTAAAACTGGGATGAAGGTTCAACTTCCAACAGGAATATCATAAAGATACATTCAGAGCAACAATAGAATACTTCAGATCAAAGAATATGCATGTGTCAGAATGGCCCAGTCAAATTACAGACTCATTGAATTAAGAATCAGTGGTAAGACTTGAGAACTACTTTTCATGGATGCTTCTCTTCCAGGCTGCCTAAACTTGAGCTATGTCACAAAGCTGGCAAAAGACCTGCAGCAGTATCTAAAGTGAAAGATAATTCTGCAAAACTTATGGAGGCTTAATATAAATTAACACCAAAACTTTGAGAATTTTGTATTTGTGAGAAATGTTTAACATTAACATTTCATCACAAGTTTTTGCTACTTTGTGTTGAGTCTCTAAAAACCAAATAAACACATTGAAGTTTGTGATTGTAACATGACAATTGTGAAAATATTCCAGGCTTGTAAATACGTCTGTCGAGTGCAACAATACAATGAAGACAAAAGCAAAACATCTTTCTCCCTTTCCAGTTTACAGGGATCTTAAGTCTCACCGTTTGGTACACTGGCTTTGTGTGTTTAGATGTGCATCCCTTAAGCGATAGATGCCAAAACACAACATGTTGTATGTTTTCAAGGCTTTACAGAATAGGTCCCCGTAGCACCCACCGTCCTGAAAGACAGAGAAACAAAGAAGTTAAAAAAGAGAAAAATACCATAATAATAATTTTAATTACAATTTTGCTTTCTTCTGATGTTTCTAAGCGTTTGCCCATAAACACTATTGGATTCAGAGCAATGTTAATCATCACTGATTTGTATAAAGAATAAATCTTTAGATTTTTTTAAAAATCAATTTGAATAATAAACTTAAAGTTGATATCAGTTGTTTCTGGAATAAAACGAAAACCAAAAACCACGACACTCCGTAACTTGAAAAGTACGTCATCCCAACTGGAAGAGCTAACGCTGGGTCATTATTGAATCCTTCAGCATATTAATACGACTAAACATTCAAACAGTAATGGTTCACCACACACAAAATTGACCTCCCATTGAAAATTCTACATTTTTGGCTTAAATCCAATAGAAAAACTGCAAGGGAATAAAAGAGAAATGAGTAAAATTCTCCACAGAGTTCTCTCTCTGCATGTTCTGACTTTGTTAAATGTTATATGAGAGATATTTTCCTTTTAGTAGAAGGGGGCTGTGAGTAATATTGACAGCAGCCAAGGAATAGTTGTGTCAGTTGGGGTGTGAAAAAAATTGATTAAGATGGTATTTTTCTCTTCTGAACAAATTAAATTAAAAGTTTAGTTTTTCAAAAAATTTTAGTGATCCTACCATGCTACTCCAATATAAGATTAATTCAGATCAAGGTCTTTTAAACATTCAATCTTTACCTTGGTTGACCATTAGTGTGGACGGTGCTATATCACAACAAGCTTTTCACTGAAGGTTGAATGCATAATATGAGCAGACAAAGATGGCCTCAACCCCGGGGTGACAGGACCGTTCACTTACCCCGAGGTCAGCAAAGGGCCCGTCGTACAAGGCCAGCTGTGCCACGCGACACCTGTCCCTGTTTGCCAGGGTCTGCGGTGTGCTATAGCCACCACGTAATGCATTCTCCTCGGCCAGCAGCCCCTCAAGCTCCGGTGTGGCGCCACCCGTTACCAATGTCCGGATCAAGGTGAGGATATTATCATTGAAGTATGTCTGTGGGAATAAAGACAGAGAATGGAGGGTAAGTGCTTCAGGAAATACAACTCAGTCTTGACAAGATGCTAGACAGGTTGACTGTTGGTCTCCAACCCATAGCGGCGAGTTACTGGTATTACAACTTTCATCTCTGCAATCTTTAAAAAAAATAGAAGAAAATTCCTTGGAAGAAAAAAAACACTTCAGTTGTTACCCTTCTAGTTCATACTTGCTATTGGTTTGTTGATTTTAACAAGGGGAAATGTCTGCCCTTTTTCTCCGCAGTGTAGTCCCTCATCTCCCTACGCTTCTGCTCTAAAGTGACCTCTCCCTTGGCTGCTGACAGCACTATTGACTAAGATGATGGATGAGGGCTGTCCATTAGGTTGCATTACCTTTGTCTACACTGGAGCACACTTGAAGGCAGCTTTGTTCTAACCTCACTCAAACTGAAAGGCAGACAAATGAAGTCATCAAACTCACTAGAAGTTCCAGCCTTGTCACTTACTGTTTTAACTGGGCTGCTGTTTTTTTTTTTGTCTTTTTTTAAAGGTGACATAGAGGTAACAGTTATCTTTCCTCATATGAAAACATCGCATGTCTTTGTAAATCTGATATCGTAGCCCAGGGGTTCTCAAACTTCATGTTCAAAAGTCCAATAAGGACCAACTTCTGCAATATTCTGCAGAAGTAATGTTCTGCAATTTGCCCACACATACAGTGTGGACAAATTCCTCATTAACTGCGGTTTTGTGCAAATCTGTACCAAAAAGTTGCTGTTCCAGCCTGAAAACATTTTTTTTCTTTTTCTTACCGCGCTCATTAAGGAGTCCAGTACACTGACTGCAAATGCTGTCCCACAGGCAAAAGGCTGAGTGAGGTATAATTCTGTGTCTGGATCGTCGTCATCATCTTGGTCCAGAAACTGAACATTCGAGTCATTAACTGTTGGGAGGGGAAAAACATAAACTTCATGAATTATTCAAACTGTTTGCTTGCTCGCTTCTCACTAAAAACAGATCTCATGGAAAGGTTTTTGACTTGAAAAAGCGTGGATCAAGCAAGTCCTTGATTGGCATGAAAAGGGAGAACACAAAGCAGGCAGTAGCTGCAGATATGGACTGTATTTGGAAAATTTGTATATGTTGATTAGTTTTTCTCCAAATATGTCTCTCCGTTTAACTACAATGACTCTGTGTTTGATATTTGTACTCGGCTATGTGGCCTACTTGCCTCCGCCACACTCCATATCCAGGCGATTTATGCACACTCACGACACCATGCATATTGTCAAAGTTCCGGGCTTCAATTCAAATCCTTCCTTAAGGTCAGTATCAGAACAACCAATATGCCATTGTTTGTCTTGTAAATCCAAGACAGAACTTCCAATTACGTCTACTTGCATGTCAGGTCAAATGAAAGTAACTGGTTGCCCCAGAACCTTCTTTAGAGATGTCTTTGAGCACACAAAAAAACAAAACGCATGCAGTGGCTAGAAGAAAGTAATGATGTAAAATTTAGTTGGAGAACTGCTCCTTCTGTGCAGACAGAAATAAATGTCAGTCTTATGGACAAAGCTGAGATGAAAGAAGGGAACAGGCCAGAGAATGTGATCTGACAGAAGATGCTACGAAAACAGCCACAAGGACTTCTAAAGGGATCAAAGGCCCTGTAATTCTTGGAAAAAATAAAAAGGGAGAAATTTCGCTTTGAGATAAGGGGGGGGGGGAGAAAAACAAGACAGGCAATTTCAACCAGAACCAAGGGTAAAATGTGCTTAAAGTGATGCCATGGGAATGGACTGAGCTTCTTGTGCAGCAAAGAGAAATCAAAAGAAAAAGCTGATATGGAGGCAGCAGCAGTTACAACACTGCAGTACAGGACACAGGCGCTTCTTACCCAGCTCAGTTATCATTTGTATGCTGGTCCCACTGCTTTTATCCTGACTGAATGAAATCACAGGCACTTTTTTGCCTTGTTTTGCTAACGGTGCTGGACAAGTGTTGAGGGAAAAACAGTTACTGTTACAAGTCAACAAGGGGAAAAACACACACATAAATCCATTTTTTTTAGCAATGTTAAGCACACATTAGCAGACTCTAGCAGCAAAAACTGGTTATTTAGATCACTGCTACTTTAGAGAAACGTGGTTTCCAGCTATCATTTCAACTATTAAATATTCAGTAGCAATCATACCAAGCTCTGTTATGATGGGAATATTTGCTCCAGTAGTAACAGAGGTCTGCCGCACTAATCCATGGACTGGGCTGTTCTCAGGAGAGGATCGGTCCATCCCTGGTGGCGTGAAGCCTTAATGGACACACACATACAAAGACAATATGTTTCTGTTAATGCAATGTTCAGTACTTCATCATAGCATACAATGAGACGGTATCAGCCAAAAGATTGCAATTAAGTTGTTGTTTTTTTTCTACCACTTATCTGCCTTGGGTGACACAAAAAGTGTTCATGCCAACTAAACATTTTTACATTCAGTTGCCTCCACTATTTTTCTCATCTTGATACTGAAATTTTTACACGTTCTTGTTTCCAGATCAGTTCATGTTTTGCAACATCAGATTTAAGTCTGGACTTAGACTGGACCTTTCTAAAACATGAATATGCTTTGATCTATATCATTTCATTGCAGCTCTTGGGTTCATTTGCTGGAGGGCAACCTTCTGCGTCTGACCAGAATTATTGTCCCTACTGAAAAAAAAAAAAAAAAATCATCCCTGAAGCATTTTGCTGATTTTTCTTCCACACATATGGCACGCAGGCTGAAAAGTTCAATTCCAGCCTCATCTGACCAGAGCAGCCTCTATTACAATGAGTCGAAATATAACCAATAGTACGAAAGTTCAAGGGATATGAATACTTTTGTAAGCCTTATAAGCTAAATGCACTGCTACTGTATTCATGTAAGCAAACAATATTAGTCCATGTATAATAGATTTGACACACGGCTCATTTTGTTCCCCTTAGACCATGTGTGCATGGAGGCAGAAACCTCTTACACACATGCAGAAAAAAAAAACATGTACAGTACAACAGAGCCATGAAAGAGAAAATAAATGATGCAAAATTGAATTCAGATTGACTTGACATTTCTTGGTTTCCTCAGACTGACAAGTAAGCACATTAAATCAGTGATGCTGTATGTATAATACATGGGCCATGTTTTGACATCCATCACGTACTGCTGACTAAGGCAAATGTGAGGTCATACATGTATTAGACGAATAATGAAATTGTCAGTTTTTTTTCTTCTCCTCATGTCAAAAGGTTTCTAACAGCATTTCTTCTCATGCTGAACATTGACTACATTATGGAAGACCATCTGATGCTAACTGAACACTCTGGTGGTACTTTTTAGAAAACTATAACATGTAATATTAATGGGTTAAGACACAAAGCAGCCCCAGTTGCTGAAAAATAAGACTGTAAATGTCAAGCAAAGGTTTTTGTGGCAGTGATGTGCGTGTTGCCACCACTGAGGTTTGTGAGGTAACCGGTTGTTACAGTAACCTGAGGAACAGTCAGTAAGGTTTACTGTCAAACGCAGCGACAACAGGTCAGCCATGCAGCTCGTAGTGAGCAAATATTTTCTGTGCCGGGGCCCTGTCCCTCCCAGGCGAGGCAGTGAACTATGATAGGGCGCTACTTACCTTGAGAATTGGCCTGCAAGACCCCGATGCTGTCGTCAAACAGCATGGATTTGATGTTAAGTGACGCCAGGATGCACTCTTTGTCCTGCAGGGATGCATCATCAATATTGTTCTGATTGGCTGACAGGATGACACACATGTCACACAGGTTTATGTTGACAGCCCTCAGATCAGCCCGGCTCAACGGTGTGCCCTTCGAGAAGGAGAGATGAAAATATTTGTTACTTAAATAACGTGAAACAAGAAAGTTCTCAAACTTGAAATTTTTCTGCTAAAAATATCTTGCACCAAATCATGTTGTAATTGTTACATGGCAAGCAAATTTTTCATCACTCCAAATATACTAATATTTGAACAACAATCCTGTTTATTTCATAAATGACTGTTTGAAAGGCACATTTTGAAAATACTTACAGGCAGAATGGATACTTTGGGGAAGTTATGTAGAGTTTCCCACTCGCGCTTCAGGTATTCAAGGGAACCGACAAACACAATGTGTTTCAACTCGTGGTAGTGGAAGTTGCTCGCTCTCAGCGGCATGACAAAGTTTCGCAGACCAATCAGCGCTGATTTCACATCTCCAAAGATGCACACCACCACATGTCCACTCAGAACAGTCATAGCTGCTTCGCTGCGGGTCTGAGAGGGAAACAATATGATGAAAAATAGGTTTGTGACAGAAACATGAAACGTGTTACTGCTTTCCTCATTTTCAGGCAAACTGCTCTGCCTATAGATATGATGTTAAAGTGATGTGAAAAATGGCAGATGCATTATTGCAGGAAATGTTCTATGCACAGGCTCTGTGCATAGCAAATGACATGTCAAACACCTCATTACAGAGTGTTTGTTTGCTTCGTCAATCTTTGATGTGGCTTTGTGACGATGCACATTTTTTGTGAGAGAAGAGTGTCAAGACAAAGGAACTGTGTTCAAGAGAGGTATCAGGACCCACCAGGGTGACCTTCTCAATATCTTTGGACGGGCACCAGTGAAACATCCCCGTGGAGTCGTATTTCTTTATGTTCTCATCCATGGTCTCAATCTGCTCACTGCCTGGGATGAGGAGTGGGTCGTGTCTAGTTGAATCAGAAGGTTAGAGCGACAACAACGACAAAAGATTATTGAACTGAGTATCTTTAGATTAAAGAATTCCAGAATACAAATATTTTAAATTAAAAAAATACATCAACTGAACTCCAAAGTAGTATTTTTTTTTTCCTCTAGCTATTCCTGCTCTATGCTCATTGCTGTCAAAGGCCATCTGCAGAAATGTCAACAAAACCGCCCCGTCATCAAGCAAAGTGACATCAGCAGCAGCAATCAGGCAGAAGTAGATGGCAGCAACACACCACCTTGACTGGCATGAGCAAGGAGATGCAACTACACCCCCTCACCGCATAGAGCTTGAGATGGAAGTGTACTGGGTGGTAAAAGCTTTAACAGACAAGATTTTAAATATTTTAGCAATTTGCTTTCCAAAGTGAAGGGTATTAATGTTTAAACAGGCCATCAGAGCTATATAAACAAATCTACTCGTCACTGACCGCTGAAGAGGTCTATAACTATGGGAGCATGTCATTGGACTACAGTTGTTTTGATCATGGGGTTAAAGACTGTCATTATGTCCTTGATGTTTGTGACATATTACATACAACATTTCATAACTGCACATGATCAGACATCTTTCAAAAATTATATACAGTGTTGTCCAAATTTATTGACACCAGCAAACGAATCGTTCTCAATTTTTCTTTGCCCAATTTTTCTAGAGTTTTTATTCTTTCCTCAGCACGCCCCTCAGCTTTTCTATACAACTAATTTCCAGACAGAATATCCATAAAAGGTTTATTTGGGCACCATTTCTATTGTATTTTTGCCGTTATCTTTCCATTAAAAGGCCCAATAATGATCTATTTCAAATATTCTGGGAGAGGCCAATAGATTTTTATTTAAAATATTTTGGTACTTCAAATAGTTTATGCCATACACCAAAACATGGCATAAACCCTAAAGTTCTTAGGGTCTTTTGAATGATGAACCAACTCAAAGCATCACAGTTCCTCTGCCATATTCAACACTGTCCATATTGAGCTTTTACAAATATTTATACACTAAACCCACATGGATGACACAGACAAACTCTGTTTGTGAGGATAAGAAGTATGTTTTTCTTGGCATGCCCAGACAACCAGTAAAATAAATGTAGCTGCTTGATGTTTTAAAATTTCAGTATTTTTTTGTACCACTCTCACGGTGTGATGCTAGCCGTCTACCATCCCATCCATAGCGTACATAAATTCAGACTTTTGACTGTAAAAATCCCTATAATCTAAAACAAAATAACCTTAGTCTCATGTGTTACATATATATTTTTGACAGATTAATGTAAAAAAAAATCACCAAGTGCTAGATTACACGGATGACTACAGAGCACATGCTATACATTTACTTTGTCAGATTCAGACCACAGCTGAATATGTCTAAAACACTCCAGACAGCAGCCTTCTGTCCCTGTCCAAAACCTTTAAAATACTTCAAGTCATCTCTCCATAAGAGGAGAATGTCTTTAATCCATGTGAGTGCTCTAAAAGAATGCCATCTAAAATAACATGTTAAGTATGCATGAAAGTGTCAGCTGAAACTACCATCCCTCAGGCTGCGAGAGACTGAAGCCAAAAAACTCGCCTTTGGGCTCAAATACCCCGAGGCAAGAGCTGGATGTCCTTTCTAGAGCAGATACAGTTGGTGAGGGAAATGTATTTTCTGTCACTATCTACCACTCACTCAGTTGGCTGTTAATTTAACAATAGACTGCATGCACAATGAATTTATGTGCACAATACTTGTAGAAAGACCCAACTTTAGTCAAAATTTATGTTATATAGAGCTAGCATATTGTTTGCTAATAATATTTTACATTTTTTTTTTGCATTTGAATAAGACTTGAGACTGAGTTGAACTTAGACTTCCAGCAGGTCCTGTGTGTACACGTTTCTAAAATTATTTCTTTTTTGACGGGATATAGTTAATGTTATGTAATTTTATTTGCCTTAAGATCTCAAAGCACCCTAATAGACACATACTTCTCTTTGGGTGGGACTTCACAGCATTTGTATCTTGTTTTCTTTTATCACATAATTAAATAGTATATTTTACTCAGTTAATAGGTCAAAAGTCGAGTTGTAAAAATTTTCAGTACAATGTCCTGGAAGTCACATGACATTGAACCTGGGGATACGGCTTGCGTCAACACATTTCCGTTGAAACTAAAGACAATTAAGGAAGGAAGTGTTGATGGAAGCTACTCTGACATTAGTTTTTAAAAAATGTGCAAGTTATTTCAGTATCTGAAATAAAAGAAAAATCAGATATAACACCTACTGTCATCAAATTTATAACACAAGTTTAATATTTATTTCTGCAGTTCTTCATTATTTACCTAAAACATTTCATTTTGTCAAAATATTTAGTGGTGAATATCAAGCCCTTTAATGTTATCAGATCTCAATTAATTTAATACATAATTATAAGATTGTTACGACCTTGATTATTATATTATTGTTGATTTTTGTTGGGTATTATTTTAGCTCTGCATTTAATATCTAAAATTAAATTTTTCTATCTCCCCACTTTAATTTTTAGTGGTGACAGGTCAAAGTAAAATACAAATGGGCATTAAATATGCACCAACAATGCATAGTGTGAATAAATGTTCAGATTTATATGCATTTGATTTGATCCTGTTTAAGACTTGTGGCCTCAGAAGGCCAGGTGAAAGAGCTCACCCCTGGGTTCTGTGACCCTCATTTCAAATAATGACTGCTTTTGGACTACTGATACTGATATCTTTGGTTTTGTCATACTGTATATTTATTAGAATATATATTTATCAAAAGTTTTAGTTTTCAACAAAGCTTTAAAATGTTGGGTTTGTCAGTAACAACGAACACCAACGGCGTCGTTAAAAAAGGGTGCACTAAAAAGACATGAACAGAAAATGGGATAACCACATGTTTTTTTCTGTTTCTCCAACAGTATTTTGTCTAATCAGCTTGACCTTAAATGCAAGTCCTAATAGAAGTGAAAGCACTTAGAGGTTTTACACCTTGGCTAAATATTTCATCAAAAGTCAAATGTTTGAGCACTCACTCAGTGGAGCCGCTGTCACTTCAGTTTGTCCTTGCAGAGGTGACTGGTGAGGCTGAGCTGTGCCAGGATAGCTATCGCTCACTGTCAGCCATGACGGCCTGTCACTATCCTACACCGCCAATTGCCTCGGCAGTGCAGTGGCAGACATGACGTGTATGTCAAGGCGCTTCGATGTGACCAAACACATTTTGACATGCCACAGTTAGATGTGTCTTATGACCCATCAAGGAGGCTGTGGAAGGGGTGTTAATTTCAGAGAGGTCGTCGTTGCGGAGCTCCAGACGGGACGCGTTAGTGTGCTGGAAGTGGGAGCGACACAGCCTCACGGAAATAAGTGTCGTTCTTTTTATTATTATTATTATTATTTTACCTAACATCACTATAAATCAAAAGGTCAAGTGACTTCTAGAAGACCTTACTGAATCATGAGATGTAAAAGGCAGTCACCAACAAAAAGGCACCTTTTGAACCTTTCCCACATTGCAACTCAAACTTCTGTGTATTTTATTGGAGTTGTATGAGACAGCTCAACATATGACGTATAATTGTGAAGCGCAAACAAAAACATGCATGTGTTTCAAACTTTTGTAACAGATTAAAACTATGTATCAGAAAATTGTTTGGTGCATATCTGTTCAGCTGTTCAGCATTGCATCCCCACAGTTATACAAATCAGTGTCATGCTGTAGGCATACCTTACTGTCACAAGGGAAGGAAAACTTGTCAAAGTTGATGAAAAGATGAATGGATGTAGCTCAATTTAAGAAAGAAATTATGTTAAAGACTAAGAAATACTTGAGACTGAGTTGAGCTTACATTACACTTCCAACAGGAAAACAAACATAAAGCCAGAATTACAATGAAATGTTTTTTTTATCAAAGAGAAGAATCATGTTTTAATCCAGACTTGAATATAATTAGGAATCTCTGGCAAGATTTAAGAACTGATGTTCACAGATGCTCCCTGTCCAGCCTTGAGTTTGAACTATTCTGCCAAGATAAATCATGTAAAAAAAAAAAAGTAAGTCTAGTGTACAATGTTGATGGAGACATTGGTTGTAACAGGACATACATGTGATAATGTACAGATAATTTGTAGATGCATGAAACTGCATGCACATCCTTTATTTTTGTCCTACTTAAACTCACACAAGCACTGAGGGCGAGAAACGACTTTGAAAACCCTCCCGTCATGCAAACTGACAAAGGGTTGCTCTTCAAAAACCCACAGTCAATCTGTTGATCATTACTTATTTACAAAGGCCTTGAGGCCCCAGGTCCTATAAAAACACATTTGATACAGCATACACCCAGATGTTTTTTTTCCCTCCGCTTGTTGCAATGAAGTATCCCTTAGGCAACCACAGCAAATCCCTCTCCAGCGTGTAGACAGCAGGCGCTGAATGGAATAACAGATCCACCTGTATTGCTGTGGATTAGTGTGGTGAGTAGATGGATCGGGTTGGTGGGTTCATATTTGGCTGATGGCTACAGTGCTGGAAAAGCTCGGGTTTTTGTAACCCAAGAGTCCGGAAAACCCCTGTAGCAATTCAACCTGAACACTTTGAAGCAAATCAAATAGAGGGCAAACACCCACCCTGAAAAACCCAAGGCCTCCGATCAAAGAAAATGCTAACTAACCAATGCATGTAAATACTTTTATTCATAATACAACAAAGTCACTTGTCTAACCTTTGCTTACGCCCTACCTGTACCTTATCTTGTAATGTTAAATAATATATGCAATTGGGTTTGGCTTATAAATATCAAACAAATAGGAGTCCCCATATTAGCCAATGCTAAAATAAAGTCATCTGTCAGTTTTAATGAAATTACATCTGTGCCATTGTATATACGTCAAGCTGCAGGTCCTCCCTGCTGCATGGCTTTCTCATCACATGGCACTTAATGACAATGAGAGCTACTATTTTCATTCTGGTAATGGTCTCTTGTTGAATAACAGCGTTATCTTAAGTCAGGATCAATAAGCGCTGATTTAATTTCATGAGACAAGATAAAAGCAAGGTAACATTTGAATTCGCCTTTCATTGCGATGATACATATCATCTGTGGCCTAACGTGCTGAAAAGACCTCGGAGGGATCCGACAATAGATGAATAGCCTTGGGCTATCCATCCTTTAGAGCTTCTCTCCCTGTTAGGTGCTGTCATTAGTGCCAGACCTGTTTAAGAGCTCGAGTCTCTAGTTGTCACATGAAACCATTTGGCATTTGCAAGTCTGACATGTTTTTTGACGAAAAAATGGGTTCAGGGAGTGGACTGGGGTTTACAGAACATGCTCTTCAAGATGTTCTTCATGAGATATCAGTGTCGTACCTTGTTATCTTGGGCGAGGAGTTTGGTGAATTTCTCATGCCTCCATTGCGCTGCTTCTTTTTGGGTGACAGAGCTGTCGGTTGGTCCTCTTCAACTAAAACAAAACATAAAGGTATGAGGACGGCAGCGTTATCAGACATGAAGTAAAAGTCACATGAAGAGATGACAGAGCAGAGAGAGAGGCCGATGAGTTTAAAGAGACAGGAAACAAACAGGCTGGAATGTTGCTGGACGGAAATAGAGGACAGTCAATGCAGACAGAAAACAATGGCAAATGTTTTTAATGGACATATTTAGAAATGCAAACATGCAAGAGTGCCGCCATAAACCCTCATGCTGATTACCAAAATCCAGTTTGTACCCAGGGATGTAATCTAGGTTTTAAAAAATTCTAACATAATGATATAGTAAGGGTCAATGAGATCCTCTCATGATATTGAAATTTCTCAATATTTATTATCAATGTAAGGTATCTTCTTGGCAACTGCTGCCAGGATGTGATTATGTCTGTTAAAAAAGGTTTACTGTCACAATGCAGGCCTTGCGAATGAAGATGACTACGCGTTGAGTCACTTCTTTTTAAGTAAAAAGGAAGTTGACCATTTGCTGTCCTGTTGTGTGATGGAGTCAACAAGCTAGACTTCTTGTCGGGCTAGCCAGAATTTGCCTTTGCTATTTTTTATTTGTTTTTTTTGGGGGGGAGCTTTTTTGGATACTTGGTAGAAACAGAGAGTGAGAGAACAACAGACAAGATCAAAAAAATATACAATATATATTTTTAAGCACTGTGAGAATACAACTTGGCAACTCTTAGCTGCTAATGATGCTAATGATGCTACCCGAATCGTGCTTTCCGGTGACTGAAATGTTCTTTTTTTAAATTAATTTTTATTTTTTCTTTCGCAACTCTAGATTACTCTCACACACATGTATACATATTAGACCTTTGCAGTCATGATCATGTAAGTATCAGGCAAGAAGTTTCCTCTTTCGTTTAATTTATTTTTTTCCAGAAAATAATTTCTTGCATCAAGCTTTATTTGATTAAAAGGCTATCAGTGTACAGTCACTTGCTTACATTGCAGGCAGAAATCCTGCAAGGTAAGAAAGATTGTTTGCATTCTGATTTTAGTCATTCATTTAACGTCTTCAAATATTAAGTATCCTGCAGTACAATCAATGAAGGGCAGAAGAGTGTCTCCTCTAAATTTCTAGTGTTCCTTCATCTTGAGAGTGGCGGCCATGGCTCATGTAATTAGGTTGGCCCCTGTGCCAGGGTGATTTATGCACAGCGCAGATGCCCCTCGGACATTGTCTTTATCACTCCACCAAACCGTGCTGAGCTCTTCATCGGGACTGAAGGATAAGTATATCCCATGGGTCAAGCAATCAGGCAAATATTTTCACAAGGTAATATCACAGCTCAGGAGGGAACAAGTCGGCAGGAAAATAAACAGGAGGAGCCAAGAGAAGCAGCTTTACTGATGGAGCTTTAACAGCCACCATTCTGGGGGAATGGCTTGTTACAGTGTGTTAAGGCTGTTAAAGACACACTTGAGTATGTTTTCACAATGATTGAAGCTGTGAATAGTTTTTTTCCATCTGCTTTTTTCTTTAAAAACATATGAAGAAATTGCAAGTGCTTTCATTAAAATTAATAAAGTCGTAGATTGATTCTCATCTGCAGATGAACTCAGGGTTTCCAGCACTGATTGCATGTCTAAGACTGACATCATAATGGAACAAGTGGAAGTACATGGGCCGCCAGTGGAGAGGGACGCTCCAACACTCGGGGCCCTTCACATCTTTGCTCGGCCTGTTTAATATTTAACGTTTCGCAGCTGACAGCTGCTCAGGCTGGGTCATTAGTAAAGAATGCTACACATGCAGCCACTCCAGCCTGGCAAGCACATGCTTTGGTTGTGCTGTTGTTGAACACAGGCCTGCCTAACACAGCAAGAGTCGGAGGGAGGTGGGGTAGTTGGCTCTTACACTGCCGCCGACTGAGTGTGGTGACACTGGGGTGAGCGGGGTGGTATCTGTACTTCACCGGCAGGCTTCGTGCCCGCTGAAGTTGACGAGTCTCCTCTGCCACGCCTGGCAGCCGGCCGACCTGGGCCAGGTCTCTGGAGCCCACGAGGCTCAGTTTCAGGGCAGAGGGCTTGCTGAGGGGCCGTAGGCTTCCCTTGCGATTGTTTACCAAGGGAACGGGGACAGCAACAACTCTGTGGGGGCCCCTAGAGACCACGCTGGCTGAGACATGGTTCAGTTTGGCTGATTTGGACTGATAAGGTGGCGGTAGGGTTACAGGGCTGCCGTTTACTGCTAAATGAAGAGGAATCAAAATCAACAGATGTATGATTTTTTAAGTCAGCTCATACGTTCTAAAAAAGCAGCATAATCTTCTGTTAGAAATGGTTGAATGAATATAAAAAATTTAGTCATTGGCACTACATTTTTCTTCAGTAGATTAATGTTTTAGTTTGCCCAGGAAAACATTTAGTGCTTTGTAGAAGTGTTAATAACACTTTTTCAAATTTTGACAAGTTTCATAAACTAATACAATACAATGTTTTCATTATTTTTATGCGACAGACCAAAACATAATATAGTTTTAGGAGTTGTGAAGTGAAAGAAAAATTATATAAAGTTATAAAAAAAAATTAAAAAAAAGCTTGGTGTGCATTTATGCATCTACATTATTCTTATGCCCATAAATACAATCAAGTGCAACCTACATTAAGTAGTCACTTAAAAACAAACATGTGAAAGAAGATGCTTTGGTCAGATTAGATTAAAACTGAACTTTTTGGTCCTGGTGCAAAATGCTACACATAATGAAGAACTAACAGTGTTCATTACCCTGAACGCACCATCCCCACAGTGAAACATGTGGTTACCGCATCATGTTGCAAGGCTGCTTTTAGTTAGCAGAGACAGAAAAAACATGGCCAATGCTTACAAATTCATGTTTACAAATGGTCTTAATCCAATCTGAGTTTGAGCTTTGTTGCAAAAAAGAAAGTACAAAAATGTTGATCTCCAGATGTTATATAAGGACCTGCAGGTATAAATGATGCCAAAAGTAGTTTTCCAAAGTATTGATACAGGGTGCTGAATAAAAACACACATTACACTTTTCATATTGCAAAAACACACATGTAGCCTTTTCCTTTCACTTCACACTCTACTTTGTGTAAATCTATTGTATCAAATAAAGATAGAAAAAAAATTATCAAAGTTTGTTGTTTTACATAAAATCTTGAAAGGTTTGAGGGATATATAAACGCTCTTGCAAGGCGCTTTAAGTTAAGACTTCATTTAAAGTGACTTTAATAAGACTTTTATGTGTGTGTGTGTGTATTAATGAAACAAGTTAATAATTAAAGTACAATCACTAGTTTGGGTGGGTAACTCTTTCTGGCACAAGAATGCTAATATCTGAATAATTGAACAAAACCTCATTTTTATTTAACGCCACTTAACCAGCTCATATTCACCACAGACGAAATGTTCCTTTTGACATTTTACTTTGATATTTATTATACACATAAATTAATAAACCTGCTTTCAGGTGCTTTAGCGATTGTTGTGCCACAAGAAGAAGGAGGTGACACTGTGAATTATAGCAGCCACGGCTGCTGTGTGCAGCTCGTCACTGACAGAGGACGGGGAGTGGAATTCAGGCTAAGGCAGTGACAATAAAAGGAGGTAAAAACTAGTGACGATAAAAGAGAGAGAAGAGGAATGCTTATTTAAACTAAGGGGAGAAAAATGTCTGGAAGCTAAAACTGGAGAAGAGAGATGATTATTCTAACAGTCAGCTGTCTAGCAGATTATCCTCCCTGTTTCAGACCTCCTCTATATCTGCCTCACGTCAAACATGAGCAGCACTTCTTCAGGACAACACAATGTGGCAGATTTGCTGCACAGATCCTTTAAAAGTGAAGTGGATGACACTTGCCTGATGGCTAAATAAAAAGATGCCAAAATATTATATCAATTCTTACTTTTATATATTTATACATTATTTATTTCCAGAAGAAAAAAAAACATGCCATTTTGGGATTTGCACATATGTTTACTCAAAACATTTTTGTTACATTTTGAATTTATCAGTGATTTAATGTATTCACACATACAGTGAGGCAGCAGCACCCCTTAGTGGCGACACCCAGCCTAAAGAATCATTTTCCTCCGGCTTTGAATGCAAAATGCAATAATGGATTATGACAGAGGAGATGGTTGAAATGCAGCAGGTTAGAGAGAGATCAGGTGGTGACAGTTGCGAATGCGCATGTGGAAGTGTTAGAGAGAGACGTCAGGAAGAGGAAATCAGCACTTACTTGATTTGATATATCCATTATAGCTATTTTTAGCTGAGGAAAATACAGAGATGAATAAGAGGTTACAGGGGAAAACAGACAGCAATGAAAGGCAAATTAAAAATGAAAACAGTGGATTGAAGGTTGAGGAGTTTGTCTTTTAAGGCACTGAAAAGAAATCCAGAAATGAACCTTGAAGACAACAGAAATTAGAGAGTAGAATAAAAAAAGAAGACGTTTATGTTGGATAATTATTTTTTAAAAATGAATAGATTTTGATGTCAAAGCTGAGATGCTACAATGTTTTTACACATTAATTAATCAGACAATTAGTGTGTTTGTTAATTGACTGTGAAAATTAGCAAGCAAAATAAATATATAAATCACAATCTAATTAGTTTTTTTTTCTGAGACTTTAAAAAGAAAATTGTTGGTAATTGACCCCCAGAGTCCAGGTGGCACATCAAAATGATTTCCTAAAACCTTTGACTAGCATTTCAGCTTTCTCAGCATCTTTCTGAGAACTCTAAGGAAACCTTTGTAGGTCAGATTGGCTGTTACAGGCCAGTAAAAACAGCACTCTGAAAGTTTATTTACACGTATCTGCTCAGTGGTTTGTATGGGTGAATACTCCAACCACAACCCACACCTCCAGGATCTTTTTTTGACGTGAATTTGCTCATAATCTCCTCAACCTGTGGTTATCCCTGCTGCTAGTGTATCTTTTTTCCTCCCAAAAAATCCTTCCCACTCAACTTTCTGGTGATATGATTGCTTACAGCACTCCATAAACAGCCAGCCTCTTTAGCACTGCACTTTTGTAGTTTGCCCTCCTTGTTAAGTCTGCTAAGTCAGCAATTTTCCCTGTGAAAGTGTAGGCCATAATATCACATTTTTGTATTGAACATGTTTTTTATTGAGTTTGGGGGTAATTTCCTATTTTTTGAGAAACTGTAGGTTAGGCTGCATTAAGTGCAAGCCATAATTATGAACGTTTGCAAGAAAAACATGACAAAAGTCTTAAAATGTGTCTGTACGAAGCTCAAATGTTCTGATTGTTTTAATGTACAACAAAAGTCAAATAAATTCAGAAAAATAAGGAACATACATTTAAACAATATAAAGTTAGTGTATATTTTTAAGAGGTTTCTGTTCCAGCATTATTTATTATAGTCGTAATTAAAATGTCATCTTCTTCAGCTCTTACAACTTCAAGAAGGTTAGCATTTGATTTTGAGTTTTGTGTTACCAAAATAAATAATCAAACTGTTCCTTAAATCACTTTCTCATTTGTCAGATTTCCCCCTGAGAACCAGCATGAATGTGCAGACGTTTGTGTGAGTCACTTTTTTGTGTGTATGAATCCCACACTTGCTCATTAGTGACTTATTTCGACCCCTTGCTCACAATAAAGGTCATGCATTGAGCTTAAGGCACGGTGGTGACAGCGATGTTCAAACAGGGACCTTGCTGGTCCTGGCATCTGTCGCCTGCAATTGCAGGGCGCGAGCAGAGTCACAGGACTAACAGGCTAGCATCTGTCCCACAACCAGAGTAAAGCAGAGGAGGGTGGGGGCATCTTGGTTTGCCTGGTGGTTACGAACTGTCAGGCTGAGTTTCATGATAACCGGTAGCATTCCAAAAATGAAAATGCAAACATAATTTCCACGTCAGGCCGCATAAGGCCTTGCTCTGTGTGTCTTGCGCACTGTGTCGACAGCGGATGTGCAGCCATGCCGGAGCTCTCTTAGGCAGGCGAATCTCACAGCAAACAGCCCTGGAAGACACGCCGAGGGGTGGAAATGCCCAAAGAAGCTTAACTCCACTCAGAATGGTCTTTGATCTGGAAATATTTACTAAAATTGTATGGCAGTCGAAAATGTTTTCCAGCAAACTGCTCTGAAACCTCAGACACATTCTGTAAGTCTGCTGCCATGCATCAGGACAGCCTCCCCCCAGCCTTTAAAGGGAAGTCACACCTGAATTAAAGATTCCCGTTCATCTGAAATCAATTCTTTTACATTCAATATGATCCAGCACTCTCTGTTATGCCACATAAGATCCAGCTCTGTTCCAATCCTCTTACTGCAGACTTCACTCAGGGTTAGGAAACTAAAAGCTGGAAAGCACATCCAGCAAACACAGCACTGGTTTATCTGCTCAACATGTTGCTGATTTTACCCTCAGAGCTTTTCATCCTAATTTAATAAAGCCACTACATTAACCTCAATATGTGCTGAAGTCTCCTAAAAGAAATTCCCCTCAGGTGTTCTCAAGATCACTTTTAAATTCTCGGTGCCATCTACTTTTAATAATATCTAATCCTGCATTTCTCATTTCTGCAGGGTTGGTTAGTGATGTATTTGGATTACATATATTGTATTCACTTATTCTTGGGAAAACATGAACAAACTCTCTTCAAAATAATCTCCAAAGTTCATGCATTAAAATCCTCCAAAAGTGACTTTGTGTTGGTGTGTGTGTATCTAAAGTTTGGCTGCAGGGATGAGTACAGGAGGCTTTATTTCTTCTTCTAGAAGAACAGTTACTGTTCGTCCTGCAAAGCCTTAACTGAGGAAACTCAACGTTTGGTTAACTGTTTATTTAATTTATGCAAAGGCAATTTTTGATTGACAATTTCTAAACAAAATACCTGCATGCCTCACAACAGAGAGAAACAGCTTCCAAACGAGACAATGCAAAGGGAAAGACAAGCACCAGCTGACCCAACAGTCAAAAGGCTAAAGCAAACATCTGCAGTTCTGGTCAGGAGTTTAAAAAAAACACTCTTAACAGGCACAACAGTCATGTATTTGAGCTTTTAAGAATTTTTTTTGAATGGTTATTTTTTTCTGCTTGAGATGTTCAAACAAAAACTACTAAATATGGGTGCAGATATCTGTTTTTATTGCAGACCCACACAGATTTATTTATACCTACAGGTCTGTTTTTTGATCATCTTGCCAGAATTGGCAGAGTTCACCTACACTGGTTCCAAAATTTGATAGGTGTCAAAAATCCTGCCAGTTTCAACTCTTCTGACACAAACTATTCAGAAGTTTGAAAGGATTTAGATAAACTAGGGAGATACAAATAAAGAAAGTTCACTAATATATGTCAAGAGATTCTAGGGAGTTGATACAATTTGTTAAAAATAAAAAATTTAAGGCTCTTTTATGATTTGAGCAAATGTCCCTGGATAAAACACCAGGCTAGCAAATTCAAATGGTAGTTATCCTTTTTTAAATATTCCACAAATGTGTGAAGAAGTGCACCCATAACAGCTGCACGGCTAAACGCTGTACCAATTTTCAAATGTAATGGCAGCATTAGCCCATGGGGTTGTAGTACCCAACTTCAAATCTAAATTAGAAGCTGCTAGATCGTTAAAACTTTGGCCATAACTAGGTGTTGCAACACCACAAAGACCAAACAACCAATTTAAACGTGCGTCTAAGTTTGGTTGTTAAGTCACACTGAAGTTGTGCATTGTAAACTTATTCCATGCTGAAAAAAATAGCAACTCTCGCAAATTATTAAAAGTCCAAATTACTATGACGCGAGAAGGGTAAGTAAACTTCTGACCTGAACTATATGTTCTGTAAAGTGAGGACACGGCAGCTTAAGCCAGAAAGAGCAGAAGCCGCAGACACACTGCAAAGTCAACACAGAGCACAGTGAAGAGCACACGTCACGGCGACAACTTACAGGCACGTAAAGTGGCCGAGCAATCATTAACAGAGAGAGCAGAGAGTGGGATGTCCCAATGAGGGGAGTCCAAGTTACAACGCACTATAACTGGCATGCAAGAGCGCTCCCATTTTGAGCGCCTGCGATCAAAGCAACATGCCAGTCTCATTCTCTTGTAGGCGGGTGTCTTGGCTACAGTGATGGGTTCAGACGAGAGGAGAGGAAGAGCAGGTTAATGTGGAGGGTCGCTATGGGGGAGAAAAGGGCAAAGGCAGGCAGGCTGCAGAACAAAGCCTTTGCAAGAATGAACATGTTCAGCTTTGTTGTGACAGATTACAAACTTTAAAACTTGTTTGGATTTAGGTTTTTTTCTTCCAAATTTAACTTTGTGGAACAATATATTTCATGCCTTTACCCCTTCACCATCATCTAATCGTGACCCCAACAAGCTTATGCTCACTACTTTCTAAGACCGTCATATCTCAGCAAATAGTCATAATCTTGCACTATGCTATGAGTTAAATCCAAACACTTCTACAGAAAAATGTAAGTTAAAGGTACTATTTTCACAAAAACAAAAATAAATCTTATATTGCATACAGAAACCAGAAAGAGACATTCTCACAGTTGTACAAAACAGCACAAGGTCACAAATTATTTTGACATGACTCCAATAAGATGTGCAGTTATTATTTCACTGGTCAGTGGTGACACCTTGTGGTGAAGTTGAGAACTACTATCTAAACTTGACAGAATTTTCGTAATTAATTTACTTTTTCTCATATATATGCAAAATTTTACAAATAAAATATTGTTAAGTTAAATGTACTAATATTTGTTATTTATGTAATTGTCAGTCTAAAAGCGACACATGACAATGACAGGGGTCCAGGCAGCAAACATCCATCTTTACATGCAGCATTCACTGTGCATTCAAACAGGTCGCTTCAGTCTGGGATGCAAGTAGCAGGCTGTGTTTTTGTAGCAGAAATAAACCCGCATTACTCACAATATATCACTAGGAAGTGAATTTTTTAAATGTTCCGATGCAGCAAAAAAAAAAAAAAAAAAAAGAATATATAAAATATGAAAGTTATGTGTTGGTTTTAATAAAATAAGGCAAATAATTTGAAGATGAGTTAATAACAACAACATGATTTTTGTTTTCTCGTCTTATATATCTAATAGATCCATCTGGGTGTCTGTGGTGTTAACAGTCTGTCTGAATACCTGCTAACATGACAGCATGTAAAAGTTAATTAACAGAACAAACATCGAGGTCAAAAACTAAGACAGCGAGAGAACATAAAACACATTTAAAAGGAATTCAAAAGATTCAAATTCAGACGAAAACCCTGAAAGATTGTACTTGCTGTTAAACTGGTGTTGACCTGAGAAATCAAACTATAAAAGTTAGCAGGAAGGCACTTTGGTCTATACTAGATGTTTTTAAAAGTCTTGTCCAAATAAATTTGACTTTGTTAAAAGTGATTAATTATGTATGTGCTTGTCTTCAGTTCATTGGAGAGAAGGGGCTGATAAGAGTATAATTATGATTGTAGCTGGAGAAGAAAAATACTTAGAGAAGCAACTGTAGTTTTTAAAATCAAATATCTCTCCAGCTCTACCTTCATCTCAACCTGTACATAAATTAAAAGTTAAATGTTTTATTGTATAATAACTTACATTTCTTGCATCCACATTTTTTTATTCTTTTGGGATCCGTTATATCATCGTGACAGGCCTTGCAGTAAAACAGCGCCCTGCAGAATAAGGAGAGAAAGAGAGAATGAATTCATGGTGCTGTTTCAAGTTACTATTGAAAAAAAGTTTGAAGACGGCTGTGAAATTGGCCCAACATGAAATGCAGATAATCTTTGAATTATATTCGAAAGAGTCAGTACAGTTTATCGGGAAGAGCCACACTAATGAACTGTACATCACTGTATGAAAAGAGAATGTACATTTTGTGTGTGAACACTGTTGATGAGTCTTTATCAGAAATGATTCATTTCAGCATTACAACATTTGTATGTATTGATTAATTTTACATTAATTTCTACCTTCCACAAAATTTCAAGTTTTCTGGAAAACATGTTCATGATCTTGTATGCTCATTTAAGAAAAGGACTGTAATGTGTAACTATCAGATACTTTTAAATCTCCAATTAATCACCTTTTTACTTCTTTGGCATCACTTGCAATGAAGAAGCCCAGGGTTCCCTCCTCCATTTTCACATGGTTTCCAGGGTTGATCAAAGTGCTGGGAAGGTAGGGCAAAATGTTATTCAGTCCAAACTACCAGAAGTTACACATGCTGCGGGAATCAGACGTTTAGCTTCTATTTATTAAGTAGAAGTAAAACTTCTAATGAGTGTAAAACCAAACTGGTTCAGTGTACCTTAAGGAATCACCCATTTCTGTTTTCATTATCAGTGTATGCTGCGAGGATGTGATAAACCGACTTAAACATCAGTTACGTACAGATGAATTGGTACCAGAAACAATGAGTTGGCATAGAAACAATGCTTACTTGTGACTCAAAAATGCAATTGTCTAATTTATAGAGGTTTGTATAGCTGATTTAAAGTAGCTTCACAGTATAGACCAAACTCTGCATTTCCTAATGAATCCAAACAGCTCAAACAATCCATTTACCTGCTTTCCCTTTGATCAGACTTGTACTCTATAGCTATCAAGAGTAACTTCAACTTCACGTAGCAGAGCCTGCAAAACATTATACCAATATAAGATAAGAAATGAAATAGTTCACTGATAATCACACTCCTCATGAAAACCATAACCAGAATTGAAATATATTTTGTATGTCTGCTGGTTTTAATAGCCTGAATCTAAAGGTTTACCATGTAATACAGTTCTCATCTTTTAATTTTAAAGGTAAAACATTTTCAATATGTCAGAAAATATACAATATTTTGATAAAAAGGCTTGCAATACAATAGTGTAAAATACCTGCATAAAAGGAGGAAGTAAAACATTAGAAAATAATGCTAATATTTTACTGCTTACTCGCAAATGACCGGGAAGGACAACCCAACAAAGGCACTTGACAGGTACTCTGTGTACATCTCGTTGGCTACTCCTTCAAGGTAATACTTCTGCCATGTGTCCTCCTCAATCTGCAATAGAGAAGATTTTTTAACAAAATGTGAAAGTGGTTCATTTAAGCTCTGTTCACATTTTGTCACATTACAAACACAAACGTCAATGTATTTTAAAAGGGTCTGTTGTGATAGACCAACACAAAGTAGTGCATATCTGTAAAGTGAAAGTAACATGTTTTTCATTTGTATAACTTTTTGAAAAATGTGCCATGTATTATGTACTTTTGTTTAACCAGTTTTACCCACCTATTACATGCATATTTTGTAATAGGTGCAAAATATGCACCTATTACTCCTAATCACTTATTCTGATGCCACAGACAGACGAATCCTAGCTGCAGGTACCTTGATAAAAGACCTCATGGAGAAAAGGTTGGCCAGCATGGTGGAGAGCCCTTGAGCTAGGCAGCTCTGGGCAATGAACCCAAGTTTCAGCTCAGCAAGGCAAATGGCATCATCCCCTTCTTTCCAGTTCCAGCTTGGGATGTTCAGAAGGTGAGCCTGTGTGAAATGAATAAAATGCTACTCATTGCACATTTTTAGGAAGATTAAAAAACTTAAGTGATTGATCTCAAGACAAACGCCTTAAAATATTTACAGACAACAGAAACGTATCCACAGTGAGATGAATACGAACCTTATTGTGGTACTGCAGCATCTGCGTTATTATTCTGATCTTTGGATGGTAGTTTTTGATAGATATTACCCTAATAACAGACAAAAGGAGCTTGAATCTTGTATTATTTACAAAAAGTGGGTGAAACACAGTAATGCACAGCTGGTAATGCACATCTGAAAGTCTGATTTAAAAACTGAGTGAAAAAGTGAACTAGTTTTAGAAACCTCATGATGTTGGATGCATCTTCGGCATCTGGGTCAGCACAGTATTTATTCGCCAAGATCAGGCAGGCATCAGCTGATTCAATCTAAAAATTGTACCAAGCAGACGCACAATTTCCCATAATGCATATCGTAATCCGACCTTAAGATACACACAGAAGAAGGATTATATGTTACCTTCACTCTGGCTAAGTCGTGAGGGTTCAGGACAGAGCCCTGGTAAAATTCGACTTGGGTAAAATGACGCTTGAACAAGGCTTCCAGCTCAAGATTAGGGGAAATACTGAGGAAGAGGGAGAAAAAATACTCACAATAAATAAGAAAATTTAAGAAGATGCATTTCTAATGTAAATTTGTTTTCACTTGCAATCCACAACAGTACAAAGATTTTCACTTACTTATGGAGAAAAACAATTTCTACATTGACATCATCCCTGTCCTTGTGTAGGAAGTCTTTGAGGAAGTTGGAGACACTCTCGAGCGTTATGTGACCACAGACCACGATGTGCCTGGAAAACGAGGGGCAGAGCAACAATAAAACTAAAAGGCAGCAAAAGATAAAATCAACAAAGAAAAAAAACAAACTATCTTTGTGTTTTTTATTTTGAGATCAAAGGGCTGTGATGAAAATTTAAAATTTATGTAAATGTGAATAGGAAGGATGTTTGATGTTCCCATGATGAGGGAGGATCATAAATGAAAAGGTCAGAGGGCACCATGGCTTTCAGCATCAGATTATAGCGGATCAGTTTTCCACAGATGGAGATTATAAAATCAGTACATGGTTTATCTCCATTCCCACTTCATACAGTCTCTATGCATAAAGAACCCAGATTAGTTTTAGTTCTGCCCTTCTTCATATTTGTCTTCATCAATAGTTAATTCAGATGATTGTCTTGATAAATGACTCAGCTCTGTATGGAGAATAAAAGACTTTAAAAGGCCAGAGACAGTACACAACACACCAGAATCCCACTTTGTTTTTCACTTTTGTTAAGGAAAACAGAAAAGCAGTAGAGGAGGAAATAAAGACGACAGAGGAAAAGCACAGAATAACTGCCAAGCACAGACACGTTACCTGTAAGTACCTATTCATACTTAAGGTAAAAGTATTTCTCATTAGAAATTAATAATAATAATAATAATAATAATAATAATAATAATAATAATAAAGCTTGAGACTATGGTTTAAAACATGACAGAAAATTCATATGTCCTCAACCCACCCACAGAAAAAATGACAAGCTGATAATTCTGTATGGAGATCTGAAATATGCCGCTTTTATTTTAAACAAACAACAAACAAAACACTTTTATTCTATAGGTAAAGTCTTTTGTCTGTTATGCAAGTAGCTCTTTGTGGTCCTCCAGTAATGCATTGTGCCTTTGGAAGCAGGCTCTGCACCAATAAACAGAAAGAAATGTGAGTTACTCTAAAAAAAAAAAAAATGAAATAGAAAACAAAGTGAAATAAAGCAGAATGTGAACTAAATATGCAACGAAACACACACTTGAGTTATTTTTGATCATTGTTTTTAGTAAAACATAACTAAGTTAAATAGAAAAAAAGTTGTTGATATGGTGAATCACTTTTCATTTTTCATCAGCCTGGTCTAATGTTGTCAGTAGAAAACATATGTGGATAAATAGTTGGAAAAAAGAAATAGTTGCTGGTTTAGCAACAGTTGTGGCTTTGTATCATTTACTTTTTTTTAACAGATCTTTCATTATAGTTTCCACAGCACTACAATGACATTAACTCAATCAGAGTTGTGATATGGCACATTTATTCCAGAATTAAATTAAATGTGAAGTTACAAGACATAAGTGAAGCAAGCAGTTTGACAGAAAAAGTGAAAAAAAAAATAAAGCCTTCTTTAATTATCTTAATAAAACAGAGAGAGAACCTATAATTTATTATTCATTTCTAACAGAAACATGTATGTCAGTCCTCTCATTCAACTTTTGGCAGGAAAGCAAAACCAGAACACAAGATTTTCCAGCATGTCAAAGGATTATTCTTTAAATCAAGTATTTTTTTTTTTTATGCTGAGGGTGTAAGTCAGACTGAAGACAAAGGCCAAGAAAAAGCAAAGCAAGGAGAGTAAACAAGCAGAGGAGGGCAGAGGCAGAATTTTAAGCTGAGAAAAACGGCACATCTAAGAAGCATGAAGGAATTGATGACATAAAGGAGAAATTGGGGGATTCCGCTACTTTTTTTAGAAGCCGTTAAAGCAGAGCTCTAACATAGACTTTTTTAAAAATTAATTTAATTTTGTAACATTACAACAGCACACTTCAAATAATTTTTGTTTAATGTTATAGATCACCACAAAGGAGTGTATTATTGTGAAGAAATGCATCAAGCTTTTCAAGGTCAGGGAAACTGGAAGTCAGTCGAAAGACGAATCCAGGAACAACAACCATATATGGTTACATGAGTCACAAAGGAATGACTTTACATTTTCAAATGGCCCAGTTAAAGTACCGACCTAAACCAAATTGGAGAATTTGTGGTGAGACCTGAAAACTTCTGCTCATATTATCTCAGTCCAATCTGACTGAATCTGATCCATTTCAAAGGAACAATTAGAAAATCTTTCAACTCTGTACAGCCGATAGATTCCTAAAGTTGTAACATGACAACATTTTAAAAACTTTAAGATGTAAGAATGCTTTCTGGAGGGCACTGTGTAATCACATTACTTGTAAATATATATTACGATTATGATCATTTCAGAAGTTGTACAGCAATGTATAAATTTATATCTACTCATATATTTATTTGGTGTGAGGGGAAGATGAAAGAGTAAAATGAAATAGTAAATGAACGATTCACAAACAACTGTAATACATGTTTGATTTTCTCATATATGTCAAATACAACTGTGATACATCCATCGTTTTTGTAGATTTACTAACTTCAGCTATTAATTAAATTGGTTATTCTGTAGTATTTGGTTTTGTCTTTAAATGTTTACTATTCTATCTCTTTGTACTGACAGTGGGAGAGTTAGTATATTTAAAATAGTTAAAACAGCTTACTTTATGATCATTAGCAGGTGAACAAATATACCGTTTTTGAAAAGTTTATATTAACTCTGCATATGCATACATTTTCTACTACAACAAATGAATAATCACAGTTTACAAACAGTGAGAAAATTATACACATGCGTAATTTAAGCATGGCAAAAAATATATATACCTGCACTGAAAGACAACTTCCTTATCAAGGCATTTTGTTGATTTTTTGCATAAAAAATCTCTATTGTCTTCTAATGAAGGAAAACCTGTATATACAGGCAAAATTAATTCATATTTGATTTAAAGTGAGTCATATTTCCAAAAGGAAATGTTTCCATGCTTTCCAATATTGTAGTTTTCAAAAAACCTTTAGAGTATCTTCCTAACACTCCTTGTTAAGATTTTAGTTCCTTTACAGTGTAGGTAGTCATTATCAAATGAACAGGAACAAAGACAAAACATACAAAAAAGCTGAAGCAATGCAATAAATACATTAATCATGGCCAAGTTCTTCAGTCACGGTGTGACTTGTGTTAAATTATTTAGGTCTCAAATTACTGTTTTGTATTTCACATAAAAGTGAGCACAAAATCACACCATAAAAAGTTATTTTTTTTATTTATTCATCTTTATTTGTTTTGACTTACTTTCTGCCTCTGGTCGAGTTATAACTCCCTCCATATTTCTTCCGATTAAGGATGAGAGCAGCAATTTCTGGCACGTAGCGAGCAAACATGGCCTACATGCATGAAAAAGAAAAAGAAAAGGGCATGCAGAGAAGGTTCTACTGCGGCGGAGGCAGTAGAGCCTCCTTAAATACTTACTTTCTCCCATTAACAGCACTATAGGAACCACCATATTTCTTGCGGTTTCCTATTAACTCTATGATTTCAGGGACGTAGCTTGCAAACATGGCCTAAGGAGAGGATAGAAGACAGAAGAAGAAACTAAAAACGACAAGCATAGAAGAGGAGGTCCGATGTTTTCTCTGCAAGATGATAAATTTGAAATAGAAACGCAGCCACAGAGGCAGAGATATTACTAATATCTGTTGACCAGTAAGAAGATTCTCCTTAAGGGAAACTGAGTAAATGTAAGCTGAATATAACTTAAAGTAATTTCACAATTACATTCCAATTGTTTAGAAAGAATGAGGATGAAAAAGGACACTAAAAGGTTACTATTTACAGATATTGGAAGAATAAACGTGAAAAAATGACAGCAAGTGAGAGATATGCCGATCTGTGGTAGAAAAATAGAAATTATGAAAATCAAGAAAAAGCCTTATGTGCCATGTTTTGTCCAACAAACACATGTGTTGGGCAGATTTAAACACCACAACTTAAAGGATGGCAAACATTAACACTGCACTACTGCACTAAGGCCCCAATTCCTTAAATATCTCTGAACCTAACATAAAACAAACAGAATAGAAAACACTAATATTTTCAATCTCCTAATTTTTGTAAATAAACTTGTTATTCTGCATTGCAGCGCTAGTGTTCAATTTAGGTCTTAACCCTACTTGTTCACATTCACTTTGTCTCAATTTCTTCATTAGCTACTTTTATTAGTGCTATTTTGTTGCCATTTGCTTTCGCTGCTTATTTTCACCATTATTAAAAGTTATTTTCTTCATCTTAGCTGTTTGCATGAGCTTTTTAAATTTTGGAATAAAGTCGTTTTTAATGTACTTAACTTGAAATTTGAAATAGGTGTGAGCATCAACTCTTCCCATGAAATATTAGTAATACCCAACTGTCAACCCAACTGCCATTTGCTCTTTACACCCATTTTTTCACTTCCCCTCCATCCTCTCCTTGAGCCTTATTTTAACACTATTGCTACTTAACTGGTAGCAATAGTGTTAGAAAAACACATAAATAAACTCAATGTTTTCTTGTAAGCCCAGACAGTCTTTTCATTTATCACTGTTTACAAATAATTTGCCAGGTATTGTATGCAGGTCAACAAATATATTTTGCCAACAACTCATTAATTAGAATTTTATTGTTCCTTAACTGCTTACTGAATTTATGTACTAGTATTATGCAATGAGTAAAGATGGCTAGAAGAACCTAGGCAGAGTGAGAGCCAGTAATGTTGCAGCATCCATAAATCTGCACTTTAGTAAATCATACCCAAATATTTCACTGTGTTTGTTGAATGGGGAAAGGAAGGGTGGTACTATCTGAAACTATAGTACTCTTATAATTATTAATAAACTAAACCTGTTAGATATCTCAGATACAAAGTAACGAACAAGTGCAGTTAGGCCCAAAATAATTTATACCCTTGGCAAATTAAGATTGAAAGTAATTTTTATAATTTCAGCATGTTTCTTCTGATTGAAAGTGATAGAAAACATTTTTGCGGAGGCCCAACCAAAGTCTAAACTTGAATATGTGTGGAGAGTTAAAGAATAGACTAATGGGAAGAAGGTACTCCAAACTCAAAAACTTTAGCTCATTGCCAAAGATAAATCATCAAAATACCAATCTCAACAAGCAAACAGGTAGCCATTTTGCACATTTTCAGTCTTTTCACGTTGTTGTATTATTTTTTCAAAAATTCTTGTGATTTTATTAGAAACAAATTTCACGCAGGAATAAAAAGCAGTTAAATCTGCCAGGAGTATAAAAAATTGGGGCTTAACGGTACCGAAACAAAATTCACACCCGTTTACATTTTTTGCAGTATTGTGTATGATTCACACAGTACTTGCAATGCAGCATATGTGGGTGAAGTAGTGAACAAAATACATCATAAATGAAAGTCAAATGGTGTACTGAGGCCCAGGATTTAACACCTTGAAAGATGAGATATCTGGGTAAAAATAGTATTTTAAAGCAAGAATAACAAGAGAGATTTTTACCAAACCACCAAGGATAAAGAAGACCATAAACAAGCGGCCAAGGGTGGTTTTTGCATAAACGTCTCCATAGCCAACAGTCGACATCGTAACCATGAGTAGGTAGACACATTCCCAGTAGGAAAGTGTTTGGGAATTTTGGAAGTTTTCCCAAGGATCCCCTGAGTTTTCCACCTGGAAGAGAGGTTGAAATTTACAGAAGCACAAAAATGAAAATAATCCAAGTATGTTATGCTGAGATTGCACAAATATGTTTACCTCATTTCAATTGTGAAATTATCAGACTGTTGAATATTGTAAGAGGTTATTTTTTCATTATTCTGTTCAGCCTTTATGTAAAATGGGGCAATGAAATTAATGTAAACACATACAGAAACCATTCAACTAAACGAGGCTCGTGGATCCCTCACAGTGCCAGACTGCTAAACCTATATGAAATCTTTGTACCATTAACATGCGTTTCCTTCAGGTGCATCTCAGTAAATTAGGATATATAAATACACATTCATTTCAAAAACATGAAATGAATGTGTATTTAAATAATATTTAAATAATAATAAAAAAACCTAACTTTGGTTTTCATTAGGCCATAACCATCTGACTTAACAAAAATGCACTCCTGAAAATTATTGCCATGTGAATAATGAATCTAAAAAATAAACATATTTCATTTTTTGAATTGATTTTTTTAAGAATGTTATTATTTTTCATAATATTCTAATTTACTGAGATGTAGCTGTATATAGATGCCAATAACTTACCAAATGAATGAAGCCAGCTGCAGTTAGCCATGTGCTTATGAAGATTGAACATAAGTTCACCAACTTAATGGAGTTGCTGTTTTTAATTACACACACAAACACAAGCAAAAAGACAATAATATATTATATCAACTGTCATTTTTGTTTTACTCACTGGGCGTCACTTTTAACAGAAATCTAAAAGTAAGATGCTCAAATCCATCATAAGTAGTCATCAGTTTTTGAAACAGTTATTTACAGTGTATTGTACTATATATATATATATATATATATATATATATATATAGTACAATACAATACTATATATATATATATATATATATATTATATAATATATATATATATATATATATATATATATATCAGGAACACCTCATAAATAAACGCCTTGCAAAAATAATAATTTTGCCAATAAAAGTGATTCATGGAATTCTAAGCAGACAATATCAACGCTGTCCATGAGTGACATATAAAGTGTAAGCCTCTATACATAATATATATGTATATTGCAGGTCTTATTGCAGTAACATGTCCTTGCACAAACTGTGTGTTACTTTCATCTGAGTCAATAACTAAGAGGATTATTTTGAAGGATTTTGTTATGCTATAATCTTCCTTACATGACATCTGTGTATAAAGCTCTAATTCTGAGCAGCAAACGCAAAAACAGAAATCTGGTTTAATTCAAGCTACTTGGTTCAAGAATTATTCTTTCCCATTAATCAGTTAAAAGCACATTTTACATTCACTTTACAACAAAACATCCCACCAGTTCATTTAAAACAGCAACTGAGTTTAACATTGCTGACTGAGGACATGAAGAAAAATAAGAGCAAACATCAAGACTCTTACCTTGTCTTTAGAATATTCAAAAACTGTAAAATTTCTGAGAACTGTATCAACCTTAAGGCTCTTAAAAACCTCAAACCTGTGAGAAAAGAAATAAAGAAAACGTTCAGAACTTGTAAAAATTACATCAGAAGCAACAACAGCATTTAGTCGTGGCTCGACATTGACAGCATCATACCTTTCATACTTTCATCCATATTTATCAGCTTTAGTGGATTCATAATGATGAAAAACAAAACCAAAGCAGCAAGCAACTCTAAGCAATTAACCTATTAAAAGCCAATGAGAAAAATCTAGTTAAAGACAAAGCAAAAAAGAAGCTCAGCATCATTCTCCCGTTAATTCCAGGAGCCTCTTGTTGGGTCGGCATCTATCCTACACAAGCATCATTCCTGCTAGGCAAAACTGTGAATGTGGAGGAGATGAAAACCTGGATTAGAGTAAAGACAGGTGGATTCTGTCAAGCCAAAGTGAATCGGTAAACAGTGGTGACGTCAAATCCTAAATTACAGGGTATTTATAGAAGAAGAAGAAGAAAAAAAAAAAACACGTCGTTGACTGTTGCCAAGAGTTCAAGGACGACATAACCAATGAAACACAACCAGCCTGAGCTTGAATCCCATGTGAAATGAGCAGATTTTTTTTTTAAAGCATTTTAGTAACAGCGTTAGTAAGGTCCCGAAATGAATTACAAGACTGCTTATGGTGATTATTATTTAAAGCAGGAATTGAAAAATGAAACCAAACACACTCATTCAAATCTCAAAGCTTTATTTTGTTTTGCTGCCAAAAACAAATGATCAAATTATAATATTAGACTAAAATGTTCAAATGAGAACAATTTATTGAAGAAAAAATATTTATTTATTGAAGAACAAATCAACCTGGCCCAAAAGAGGCATTAACCCTATGTAAATTAATCATGATTATTTTTTTTTCAATAGATATAACAATGACAGAGTTGTGCCTCAAGGATCAACTTGTCACTTAAACTTGTTTGACAGCATGAAATAGGCAAAAATATCTCAAAAAGCAAAAATATTATGCCCCAATGTGTAGAAATTTAAGAACAGATCACCAGTAAAAAACAAACAAACAAAAAAATACTTTAAAATGACCTAGTCAACTCCAAAACCTTCCAGTATGGCTAAATTACTAGTATTTAACTGCTCTGATCCAGCTAAGTAAAATTTTTCAACCTAAATTATGAAGGAGATGAGGTAAAAAGAATATTTTAATCCTTGATTCACTACAAAAACTGCAATGAAACAACTTTAGGATCACAATATGGTCTATAGAGAAAGCTAAGAGCAATAAATTCCTTCAAATATGACTTTGACAATAATAGAAACAACATAAGAAATAAAGATCTAAAAATTATATTTGAAATTTTTATGGCATAAAATTGAGATTTTTAAATGTAAGATTTTTAGAACTATTTTTTGTGCTTCTGAGTTAATCATCAGCCATGAAGCTAAATAAATAATAAAAATAGCCAAAACTGCCACATTTGAGAGAAATTGGAATTAAGTGCATTTTTATCTCCATTTGCATTAACTGAACTAATTATTTCCCACCTCAAGTTATACAAATGTTACAAAGCGAAAAAAGGAGCAATAATAAACCATTTTCATAGCGTGAACTCTTGTTCGCCTTTACCAAAGCTCTACTGTAAGCATTTGCCAGGCTGGCAGCATTTTATGTCACCAAATCCTGAACCTGCGCCAGCTGACCCAACAACTGATGTGCCAATCCTCCACTTCCTCTCTGTGGTCTTACCCCAGTAAGAAATCAAGTGGAAGCATCCACCGAGACTGAAGCAGAAGCTGTCCTGGTCCTCTTTGTCGGGGACCAACCCGTGGCCCATCCTGACCCGGTAGCCCTTCTGGAAGAGCTCTCCAGTCGATTTCTTGCGTCTGGTGGTGTTTTCGACCGCTTTGGAGTGCATGTCCCCATCGGGGCCCTTGTACACTAGCATCTTCGTTGGAATCATGTCTAGAAACTACCGCAACAAGCTTACAGCTTCAATGAAACAAAACAAGAAAAAAGAGAAAAAAAAACACTCCTCTTCTCCCCTCTTCTGAATCAGGCTCATTAAGTAAAATCAAGTAGAAAGATTACTCTACAACAACCAAAATCAGCTGTTTCTTTTGAAGATGTATCGCGTTCCGATTTCTCTCAGACCTTTGCAGCATTCTCATGACGATTCACTGCAAGCTTAAAGCAAGCCCTTTTCCCATCAGGATATTAGAGTGTAAGCTCCTTTAGGATTCATCCTAGGAAACGAAGAGGCCAGACTGCATTCATGCCCATCAGTTGCTTTTACAATATAACCCACATCTCATCTCAGTGACTCTAAAACTGCTGCTCATGGACAAAAGTTCATTCTCTAATCTTGGACGAGAACAGCTTGTATCTTTGTTGCACACAATCATTCAGCAAAGCCGTACATGGAACACTGAGAAGTTCTGGCCATACTAGTGTGTGTGCGTGTGTGTGCGTGTGTGTGTGTGTGTGTTTATGCCATAGATTCCCAAATAATCCCTCAATTAATCGCAGCCAATGTATTAACTGTAATTTGAGTTGACGCCGAAACTAAATGCGTAACATGTGAGATGTCAACATAAATAGAGAAAATACAGCAGCTGATAGATATTACTCCGTCTGTCACTCAGTGTCACAGCAGAAAAAAACTCCACAGGGAAGATTAATCCTTACAGTGCATCTCACAGCGGGGGTTACACACAAAAAAGATAATTTCACTAGATTTAGAGAGGTGTTTTCTGAGGAAAAACAACAACTTCACATATTTGAGTAGAATACAAATAAATAAGCTATTTTGCAGGTTTTCTCCTTGATTTTTTCCGTATTAAACTGCATTTATCTCCCCATCATTTCTGAGCAGGTTCCTTCATTCTGCTTAGAAATTGCATGATGCTACCTCTATAATGTTTTGCTGAGGTGGCGGAGTGGGGGTATTTGGGGTCATCAGGATGCTGTATTACTTTTGGACCACACATGTGGGCCAAAAATTCAATTTTGGTCTCATGTGACTAGAGTACCTTCTTCAGCCGAGATTAAATCCTAAACACGTTTCAATAGCTTCAATGGTGAATCTAATCTCTCTAGTGAGAAATAAATTTGCTGCATATCCATCAAGAGGCAGGTGGTCACTACTTGTCATTTATTTGACTTATGAAGACAAATGACTGAACTCAATTTAATTTTGGAAGCATCAGAGTAGATACGGACTAAATACAAAGGCCACCAGACCAGAAACGAGTTCTTTTTTTTTTTGTATGTTTTTATTTGGTTTGTAAGTTACATTATAATTTATTACTTTGTATTGGTGCTTAGCTAAAAAATTCAAGGTGTAAGCACATGTTTGCAAGACACAACATTAATCTGATTAAGCAATAATTAGTATCTTTGGTCTAATTACCTTAAGATTCAGTTTTAAGACGAATTAATCATTTATGTTGGTGAAACCTTAATCTCTGAAGGTTCTGACCTCAAACAGAAAATACTATATGAAAAAAATCATTGAAATTTGGGGACATTATATATGCGCAGTGGACAGTTTAATAATAAAAGCCGCTTGTGTTTTTAGATTTTATCTCTGAAGGGAACAAAGCTGCTGAAATATTAAAATCATATCCCAAGAAGTAATGCTTCACTGTATTATTTTCATTGTCAAAGATTAATGCAGTACTTGTATGCTCTGCCCGAGAGATCAAATCCTAAACACTGCACAAAAAATACTGACTGCATTAACGCCTAATATTGCTTTCATGAAATAATAGATATTGCTTAAAATGTCACATTCCTCCTGGTATGTATGTCAAGCACCGCTGAGCATGTTAATGAAAGAGTATTTGTAAATACTGAGAGGGAATCTGTGTCAAACTGCAGTGACAGCAGGATCAGCAGATTGGAGGCCTGGGTGAGCAGCATGTGCAGAACATACAGACTTTGGATGAGAAGAGAGAAAATCCTGAGCTGCTAATGACCTTGTCACCTGCTTGTCCCCATTTTCACATAAATTCAAGCAGCAATTATGCATTTTCATTTCCTCCCTGGTTTGGGACAAACAGCGAATATATCAGTACAGTTAAATACAAAGCATTGAGTCATTCAAGATTGAAAGGACAACAAAAAAAAGAACACCACCTACACAAATGGTATCAACAATGAGACGCAACAACAATGCAGCTGTGCTGCCCAAGCAGTTTGAAGCAGGAACTTGAGAAAAATAAGCCAAGATCATTAGGACTCGAATTCTCAGAGGAATGTTTTTTTATTATTATTGTTATTATTATTACTGTTGTTGTTGTTGTTATTGTCTGTGTCAGACAATGTTGATCTAACACATAAGAACTAGTTTGAAAGTTAATGTGAAGATGTACTAGATGTACAAATACTATTTGCAAGGCACTGTGTTCCTGTTCCAGAACAGTGGGAAGGGCATAGAAGTATATAATAATAAAATATATAAATAATATATTTTATAAGTATACTTTCACACAAGCTTCCTTCAAGGAAAACTAACTCCAACTTGCTCTTGTTGCTCCCACAGAGTTTACAGCATGTTGCACAAAGCAATGACTTCCTCTGGTGATCTGTAATGTTCTAAATGGCCAGCAAAATTCAGAATGTCCACTAGATGGCAGCATTAGCCAAGAACAGGTCCTGCTTTTGTTTAGGTTCACACCTCGAGTTAAAATATATTGGCTCAGGGGGACATAACAGAAGACAATTGCACACTTTCACCTTTCAGCCCATTTTGTCTAGATATCTATAGCTAGGGACACATGTTGCTATAAAAAAAGATTTTCTGTTATTGCATATACCAAACGATGCTGAAATTCAGCAAAAAATAAATTAATAAGTTACCTGTTGTAATCCTGTAATTTCTCAAAGACCTCTCTGAGTGATGAGCTTCACACATTTAGTAGATTAACTTCTATTCTAAGCTTCATGCCACCAAACAAAGCCTCGTCATTCTATTCACTTTGTTCTTTTCAAACGACAAATTAATAAGAGTGTTTTTTCAGGTATTGCTTAAAATCCTCGATGGAGTTGAAGGGGATCCAAATGAAGCCTGATGGTGCTTGCAAGCCAGTGTTAAGATAAGGAATCAACCAAAACAAACATTATTCAATGAATGTAAATCAGTGCACACTCTTGTTATAAAAACAAACTCTGACACTCTATGGAATCAAACTAACTTCCAAATATATGAATTTATCTGTATGGAATTCGTGCAGAGAGCAAAGACTTTCCTTCATCAAAGGGTTTAAGCTTTTCTGGTTTCCTTACCCAGCCAGCTCCTGTTTAGGTACACCGACACGAACACCGGAGGAACTGTGAAGAAGTCCACCACCGAGTTCACCTCCAGCCAGAACCATAGCTTGTCATTGGCAGCAATAAACTGTGAAAATAAAGAGAATGTATAAAAGCATACATATTAAGATTAAATTTTCTAATTCAGTTGAAAAATAGGAACGTTGCACACAATTCATACATTTTAAGCATATATTTCTGTTGATTTTCTGAAAAAAGTTTGGAAACTTCAAAATAATTTTTACTCATCAACTGTACAAGAACACACAACCAGATACTTTTAAGTTCCTCAGTCTGACTTTTACTTACACGCAGGCCGAAGTATAGCAAGAAGAACACGTTGAATGCCATGTCGATCTGCAAGGTGAAGTCTTTGTAGAAGTTCTGGCAGTCCTCAATGGGACTGTGAGACAAAGGTAAAAAAAGGCATTTTATTTTCTTGAGAAAATTCTGACAGATCAAAATTTGCAATGTGTTTGTAACATAAAGCATAAAACAGATGCATTCTTCTTTTCCTGAAAATGCATGTTTTGAGGACTTCCAACAGAAGAGAAACATAAGTGTTCAAAAAAGGTGCATTAATTGGTATTTCCTTGTTTTAATCTGTTGAGAAAATGCATGCATTCATTGTAACACAAGCAAGAACTGGTTGATATACCTCGTTAACCCTTAAATAACTGCAAAAATCTCCAAGGAATTCCTTGTATTCCAGGAGTGATCGTTCTCAAATAAAAATGATGCTGCTTTCCTCTCAGACTTGCATTACGCATCCTATGCACATAGCAGGATGGAAATGCAGGGCCAAAAGCAGTAGTTTAAGGGTTAATAATGCATGCAGGAGTCATGTTTTCATCTATGAGGTCAGGCAGCCAAAGCAAGTGCTAGCAATGTAGTGAAGTCTCACCATCATAAAGCTTGTATCTGGCACGAAGAATTCAAATAAAGAGACATAATTAACCAAGCAGAATGAGTAAGTAATTGGTTAGTGTGATTGTGTTCCAATATTCAAGACCTGAAAGTTAGAAATATTTTTTTAAACGTATCATTCACAGCTGAGATAAAAAGAAAGGCGTATTGCATAAGAATTAACTATGATAATGATAAAAATGGTTAACTTAGTGCACAGTTTTAATGTGAACTATTTATTCAAATAAAAAGATCAACAAAAATACAACAAAGTAGTTATTAATTGGAAGGATGATGGTTAGTTATGTTAAAAATGCAGTAAAGGGCCTCTAAAAGCAAGCATTTGAATATGTTTGTCTAAGCTTTTGTGAGTTTAGATTTTTTGTTTTTATGTTCTGCTGTTTTTCTAAAACAAGAATGGAAAAAATAGCCAAAATAAAACTGCTGGTCAGCGCACGGAAAATTTTAGAGATGGTAAAAAGCAACCCCAATGATGAACAAATGTTCTTACAGTTTATGTGACAGCTACCTCTGATATATAATGTTTTGTGTGAAATATGTTGTGAACCACATTTCACTGACATTATCTAAACGGACAACAATCATGTTGCTGTAAAACTTTACAGTTTCACAGTTTATAAAGTTGTATTTTTCAAACGACTGTTGAAGTTGGGATGCGACCTGGGAAGGTTTCAGGCTTGCCAGACACATTACTGGTTTTCCACCTCCACTCACAGTCTCCAGCAGCGCACACCAACAGTTGCAAATTCCCACTGTGCTAATACCTCCTGGATTATAGCACATTGTTTTTGTTAAGTAAAAAAGCAAAATCAAATAAAAATAGATTCACTCCGATAAAACACTGTCTTTATGGAGTTCCTAAAGCAGGATTAGGTACCGAGGGATTATTTTTGAACGGAGCTGATGCAGAGCAGTGACATTGGGTTGATATTCTGTTGATGAACGGAGGTCGGCGACGTTGCCTCACCAGAATTCAGAATTTAATCAAGGTGGTAAAACCCTGTAGACGGCATATTTTAAATATAGCTTCATTACAATTATAGCTACGTCTAATTTGTTTCTGTCTCAATTTCTAAAAACTGAGCGATAGTAAAATAAATCTCTTAGAGCAACTTTCTAAAAATAATAAGTTGATATTTCACAATTAATTAATGTTTTTCGATCCACTGAACTGGTGTTGGGCCATTCTGCAAATGCAAAAAACCCACCATTTTTGTGACCAAGGTATTACTGAGGTCATTATTAGCTGCACAGATTCTGTCTATCATATTTAAAATTTGGTGGTATGACACTTCATCTCTACTCCACTTGATGAAGTGAGTGGAGATAGAAAAACACCCAATTGGCTGAGCAGTTTGTTGTGATGTCTCCTCTCCTAGAGCCTCTGACTGCTGGGAACCTGTACTGAATTTTAGAAAAGCACAAAATTCAGAAGAAAGTTTGTTAATGCTTTTGATCATAAGATCAAATTTACACCTGCACTCAGCAGCAGTGCAAAATGTTTGTGTTGCGTCTTGTGCTGTGCTAAGTTATTTTACAAGCGTCTGATCTAATGCTGACCCTAAAACAGAAAGCAGCTCTTTTGTCATTGACAGTCATGGAGCTATATGTCTGCAAAAACCAACTCCATTCTGAAATTCAAAAAAAATGAACAGCAGCACATTTTAGATACCTTGCAATGTTTCTGATGGTCTTATGTAAAAAGCTGAAGGATTACCTCTGCGGCTACAAAACGTCAAGATCTACTTTGTTTTTCCTTCGTCCTCTTACTTCTAATAAATATAACAAAGGAACACTAATGTCTATAAAAGTAGGTACCACAAAAAAGACAGAGGCAAAAGCCCTTTCTGCCACTCAAATAGTCCCTCATTCACAGTAATGACACTTCAGCCTTGCAAATCCCTTTTATTGCAGGGTGACAGAGCGTACCATGGAGACAGACCTGCAGAGCAGCATAATTGAGTTCCAGGCTGATTTGGGAACAGAATCAATCCCGATATGGATCGGAAAGTCTCATTGCTCACAGAGGCACTCATCTCACACGCCCACCGTAACGTTCCTCTGATCATTCCAGACTCAAATCAGTCCAGTCTCAGATCAAAGATCTTTGTTGCCTCCTAATTACTCCAGATTTGACTTGTTTTTAACCTTAATCTAAATTTGCAGAAGGAAAGATGTTGGATCTTTACCAGCCTTTGGCAAACTTTCATCTCCCTCACAAACAACAAGGGGGTCAATTGCACTGCATACAGCGCTGCTTATTTTTAAAAAATAAAACTGATTTTTAGACTTAGATCTATATCACTATAAATTATCAAATTACAACCTTGAAAGACATATTTCTTTTAGTGTGGGCTGGTTAAATGACATGCAATGTCAACAGATTTTAAAACTTGGATTTTGGTGCGCAAGTTGTACATTTCTTGGATATATTCTCTAATTCACACACTGTCAACATAATGTATACAGACTTAATACATTTATATCACCCTTAAAATTGGGTTAACTGCTTCTTAGCAAGTTCCACCTCAACCACACACTCTTTGCTATCAACAGGCTTTTAAGTAGATGAACTAAGCTTAAAGCCAGGTGTGTTTCAGACAGCTACCTGGTTTAATTCCCACCAGAATTAAGCCAGAATCTTGTTCTGCAAAAGGAAATGTGAGTTTCCAGCAACTAAGTGGAAATATATGTTTTTACAATCCCTGAACCCTGGAAAAAAAATCTAATTTGTCTTTATTAGCCCTGTGTTATTTGATATTCGTGCCCATGATGATGAAGTTCTCACTGGCACTGTTTAGATTAAATTTAAGTGAAAGATCTGGGCTTAGTTATTCTACTGACCATGTGTTAAGTTCTGTTCTGAATCTTCTCTAAGTGGGTCTGCTGTGTTTATCTCCTCTGTGTCTCTTCCCCTCAGGTCAGGCTGCCCATCATAAAAACAGCCACAGTAACCTCACCGGACTAATTATCAGGAGGACCAGCACTAAATCTGTTACAGTTGGCTGGCACGTCAAAACAATTTTAAAAAAGCAAAAAACCCATCCAACTGCCTACCTTTGGGCTTACGATCCTGACACACGGCTGAAAAAAGTCTAAATAAAGACTAAATGAGAACTAATATGACACATCTATATTGAAATGTAAGCCACTGATGCAGCATTACCATAATTC